CGGCCCACGTTGGAACGAACGAAAAGATGTAGCTTTGGCTTCCCATTCTCATTGTTCGAAGAGCCATCTTCGAATATCGGAGGAGGATGACGAAGCGCCTGGGTTAACGAGAAGATACAACCATAAAAAGACCAAAATACCCTGAATTATACGGCCTCTTGACGAAAATATTAACGGTGGACTAAAAGTGGAACACATTCAATAACAGTGGTTGTAAAGTGGCAAAAAAAATTAAGGTGGACTAAAATTGGAAAGGCCCCTATAACAATAGGACCAAAAATGGAATTCACTCTTTTAAGTGAATTATTAATATTCATTACCTTTTCTAATTGGTCAAATTTGTTTTCCATCTTTAAGCAAAATCTTCCTTACACATTCTATACATAATTACACATCTTTATATATACATATTGTAATGAGGTCCCATAATTTTGGATCAAGATGTGCTACAAAATTAGTCATAATTAATTTCTTTTGAATCATTCATACGTATTGCAAGAACATTTCCATCTTTAATTGCACAATTTTCTTTATAAATTGTGGATACTAAACGATTCTATTCAATTTTTCATTTGTAAATATATATTTTACATAACTATATTTCTAGTAACATATATATACAGATTTTTTTTAATATTTCCAGTAACTTTACATTTTTATAAAATATATAACTGAGATTAATACTTTTTCCATCTCGGCTAAACTTTTTTTTTTTTTACATACTCGGCTAAATCTTATAATTGTCAAATCCTTATATTCTTAGTATAAAATAACATTTGATGTAAAAATTATTAATTTCCATCTCGATTAATATTCTTTCCATCTCAGCTAACACTTATATTTCCATCTCATATTGCAAAACCTTTTCCATCTTTAATTACAAAATTTTCCTTATAAATTGTGGATACTAAAAAATTATATTCCATTTTCCATTTTTAAATATATATCTTAACATAACTATATTTTAGTAACATATATATACATATTTTTTTAATATTTCCAGTAACTTTATATTTTATAAAATATATAACCGAGATTAATATTCTTTTTATATTTTCAATAATTTATTATATTCATTTCATTTTTATTTTTTAATCAAGTATTAATATTCATTTCATTTTTTTGCATTTGAGTCAGTTCCGAAGCATTTTTTAATTTTTTGTCAATTAGTAATAGTCATTTCTTATCTCTATTGACCTAAATTTCGTGTCTTTTTATTCTCAGTTAATAATTATTTTTGTAATATTCGTTTAAATACTATAATTTCACCAATGAAGATGGTATGGATAAACAAAAAAAAAAAAAAACAAATGAATATTCAAAGTAATGTAAAACCATTAAATAAAGTAATATAAAACTATTAAATCTTTCCATTTAAACAAAAGATAGAAATTTAAAATTTAAAATATAAAATCTATATTATTCGTGCAGTTTACTGAATATGCTTATTACCAATTATATTATAAAATATCATATATATTATTACCAATTATGTTATTATGTTATTACTTATTTAATATCTTTTTTACACGGTATATATTACCAATAGAATATTTAATTAATTGACTACAAAAGTTTGAGGGGAAAAATGAAATAGGAGGATTTTATATATATATATATATATATATATATATATATATATATATATATATATATATATATATATATATATATATATATATATATATATATATATATATATATATATATTTTATAATTAAGGTATAATATTATTAAATCAAAATTATTTAAAATATAAAGATTCACATTAAGAAAAATATTATTAATTTCGGATATTAAAACTATATATTTATATTAAAGGTGAAATTATAAATAATTAAATTTCAATAAGTTTAGTTATTTCCTAAGTTATATATAGTTACTAATGAATATTTTTCTATATTAGATTATGCTTATATATGATTTACCCGTATTAACCATCATTATATTAGATTAATATATAGGATAAATTATTGATTATTTTAATAAGCTTATTATTATTAAATTTGAGCGATTAAATATTAATATTCAATTTGGTTCTATTATTTTCACAAAATCTTCCTTATAAATTCTTGATACTACCGATTGTTTTCCGTTTTCCATTTTCCATTTTTAAGGGAAATAACCATATTATTAATAAAAGTTTGGGCTGGAAACTACATAGGAGAATTTTAATTTTATTAACAATATAGAAAATTTTAATTTCATTAGATTTTAAATAAATGTTACCACAATTATATGTAGTAATTTGTCATATATAAATTTTTACTTTAATAATATTAATCATATGATAATCTATTCTATTAATAAAAAATAAAATCCTCCCTGCATAACACAAAGAGAACAATAAAAAACATCAGCAGATACTCAGTACTTAAAACACAACCCACAATATATTTTTAAAAAAACATTGAATGGAACAAATAATCCATACTCTAAAAACAAATATATATATATATATATATATATATATATATATATATATATATATATATATATATATATATATATATGAACATTGGTTTTTGTAAGAATTTAATTACAAGAAATCAAGTTTACGTCAATAAAAGCAAAAAAAAACACTAAATGGTACTTTCAAGCATGCACATATAAAGATATTTTAATCTATTGGCCTTCAATTCTTTCTCATAATCAGAAGAAGATAAACCGCTTTCCACTAAATCTTGCCATCGAATTTTTTTTCCTTCTCTATAACTTGTTTTAAAGCTGAATCGAATCCTTTTTCTGCTTTTTTGTGATGGCCTTCTCGATCGCAGTTTTCGTTTCTCTCTTAACTACAAATAGACCAAAAAACAGTGAACTCGGGTAGCATCCCCTACTGACTCCGTAACCATTGCATCGCACAAATAACAAAATTCATGCCTGGAAATAAAATATATAAATAATATTACAAAATTATTTTTTTAAACAAAGCAATAATACGAAAAAAATACATATAATACAAAATTTCAAAAACAAAACAATAATTAAAAACTATGGAAGATCAATTACAGATAAAAATAATACGAAAAAAAATACTTTTCTATAAAAAATTAAACCTTTTTGGATCGGTTTAGTCGGAGAAACTACAGTTGGTCTGGAGTGGCATCAACCCGGACAAATCCATAATAAAGAATGTAAATAAAAAAAATAATACGCCGTAACTTTTTTCACAGAGATAGAAATAGCTAGAAGAGAAATTGTACTTTTAATGCTTTGAAATATGCATATTAGTTTGAGCGGCTATTGAACTACAATGATTAAATTGATAAATTGGTGATGAGAGAGTCATTTGCAAGGGAAAAGAGGGATCCAATGTAAAATGAAGACTTATAATTTTTTTTAGGCATCAACTCATTGTATTTATAGGTGAAAGATATAAGAATTATAAATTTGTAAGATTTTTCAAAAGAAAATTGTATTTATTTATTTAAGGTATTGCCATAATCAATTCATTATATTAATATTCATAATCAAGTCATTATATTTATATTCCTAATTAATTCATAATATTGATATTATTAAATTGCATTTTAAGTTTGAGCGGGAAAATGAAATAGGAGGATTTTGTTTATATATATATATATATATATATATATATATATATATATATATATATATATATAGATTTTTTGCTTGGAAAGATTTGTTGGAGCTTTGGGATTTTCCATTAGACATTTAGGTTATGTTTGATAAATTAGAATCACAATGCTGGGCTGAGCCTTTGGCCAGGTGGAATTAAATTAATGTTGTTTAATCCATGTTTATATTTGCTTCAAAGAAAATCCATTTTGATTCTTCTTGCATTGGGCAATTTATATCCTACACCACGGCACGTGTTGCACTATGCGCCCAGATGCAAAACGACGTCGTTTTAATTTTTTTTTTTTTTTTTTTTTGAAATTTCCCACCACAGTGTATGGCAGTTAATTTTTCTTTTAAAAAAAAAACCCCATGTTCAAAAATGTACATAATGTTATATGAAAATACACATAATTGTATACATGAATGTACATAATTATATAACAAAATATACATACTCTTTTTAAAAGATAATACACATAATCTAACATAATACATAATAAACATAAACTTTTAACATAATACACATCAACTCTTAACATAATACACACAAATTTTCTTATTCGGATGTACATAATTGTATAAAAAGAATGTACATAATTGTATAAAAATGTACATAACTATATGAACAAATATACATAATTGTATGAACAAATATACATAATTGTATGAACAAATATACATAATCACAGCAACTTCCTACCGCGCCTCCCAAAACGACATCGTTTTGGGAGGCGCGCGGTGCACAGAGCTACGCGCGCCGTGGTGTAGGGTATAACGATTGCTTGCATTGGAATCAGTATTTCTTTCACTTAGTTAAGCAAAAAAGCAATGTTGCAAAAAACGTTAGGCACCAAGGGGGCGCTGATTTTTTTATTCTTTTTTTTATTTTATTTATTTATTTATTTTTAATTAAAAATAAAATTAAAAATTAAAAATTTTCAAAATTTAGTAATAAAACATAAGGTTTCATAGTTATTTCTTAGAAACTATTTACGGAAGTGGTTGTAAAATTGTTCAAAAGATTGTTTAAACCATCTAAATACATTAAAAAAAAAAACTAAAATTAAGAGCTAAAAAAACATTTTTTTTGAGAAATTAGTGATTTGAAAAAAAAAATTGTCCAAATCAAATAACCGAGTCAAAAGTTATACCTTCCGGGACTTTTCTCACATTTTCAACAAAAAAAAATGATAATAAAAATAAATAAAAAATATAAAAATCACCTAGCCGGCCGGCCGCGGAGGAGGCCGCCGAGGCCATTCCTCGCGGCGGCCTCCCACCGCCTAGTGCCTAGGCGCTGATTAATCGGTGTCTAGGCGCGATTTTTGCAACAGTACAAAAAAGTTTGTATGTAATGGAAGGATATATCATATATGATTCATAATCAAGATTCTGCTTTGACCCAATTATTGTGTACCAAATGGATCCTTAATTCTGTGGCTAAAAAGAAAAAGTATTCAAGAATAGTTTCTTTAGAATTGGTATGAAGATGTAAACCTGAAAATATGGAGAGGGGGAGGGGCCAAACTTTCGGAATTTCTGCAAGAAAACGAGGGAAATGCAGAAGGATTTTGATCCAAGGCTAGCACTAGTTGAAACAGAATTGCCTAAAGTTAGGAGCCCTTAGGGTTGGGGATTCAGCATTTTGGGATAAGAATTGCCTCACGAGACTATGTCTGAGGGCCAGGAACCAAATAAGAACTCGTATTTAGGTAATTCAGTCATTTCTTTTTTTCTTCCTTTCATTAGAAGTGAAAGCTCTCACTCGTGTTTACATTGATTTGGTTTTTAGCCTTGAGATTGAGTATTTTCCCTTTCTTGATTGTGATGAATGTCCTTTATTCAACACCCAAGAAGAGGGAGGATAGTCGTTAGCGATTTTAGGTTAAAGAGGAGATACAAACACTCCTTTACAAAAATCTCGAAATAACAATGAATTTTCACTTGTACAGTTATAAGGGCACCTGGTATGCAAGCTCTGAAAGTTCCGCTAAGTAAGCTTCTCTCACAACAGAGGGTATCTCGGTGTGGGAATGGTCTGGCTCCGCACTTGATGAGGGAGATGAAGCAGCAACGTTGTTCTCCAATTATCTTGGAAAACCCAATCGACTAATGCGCTTTAATGAAGGTAGAGCTGAGTATGCACATTAGCACATCCTTCACTTCATCTTAAACATGTATAGTATCTTTTCTTATTTCCAATAGGCATAATTTGCAGTCTATAAATTTTGATCTAGTTTATTCTTTCTCACCGGGCAGCCTCAGAAACGAGCCCGTGGATACAAGGTTAAATTTTCCGATGGATATCCATTTCTCATGCTATCCCAGGTTACTATTCGATTGCAAGGAACCAATCCACCGAATAGATCACAATGTTTCGTGTTGCAGGGATCATTAAACGCGTTAAATACCCTTCTCCTAGTGAATCGTTTTAGACCCAAGTATATGCTTCTTGACCTCTTCTTTTATTCCTTCTGTGACACAAACTGCTATTTGATTGCCTAGCTTCATCTTAGTGGTTATTTGGTTCCATAATTGGTTATTTCTTAACTCTGCAAATCCGCCATTTTAACCCCTTCACTATATTAGTGCAAGGGAAGGTTAGTCTCGCTTTAAACCAAAACCTTAAAGTTGTGATATTTGATTGTCCACAGTATACTCGTTGATGGATGCTAGCAATTTGCAGAGGATTTGTGGAAGGAGATCCTAATAAACAAGTCGACGTTTTATGGTGTTAAATTATGCAGTCACTGCAAGGTAAAAACTATATTCTCCCTCCACAAATTTTCTGTGCCATAACATTACACTGTTACTTTTCTTAACCGCGTATTAGATACCCACAATCAATCAAGAAACTGCAGAAATGGAGTCTGAACCAACTCAAACTCTCAAGCAGTTCCGTTCGGATCAAGTGTCAACAGGGAAGTGTAAGCATCTATTTGGTACCTTGGAAACATCGGTTTAATGATATCTTCCCTACAACCTATTTGCTGCTAACCTAATTGTAATCACTTAATTTTCAGGTGTTTTTTGGGCAGAACAAAAAAAAAAATGTTCAGCTTGCAAGCATTTGAAGTGGGCAAAAACTATACTATACTATACTATAGCAGCCGATTTTAAATCAAAACTCACTCTTGTATTGGACCTCTGCTTCCTCGTTATGCTCCGACTTTGATTCTTCCTTCTGCCCCTGACAAAATGCAGCCAAGGGGTGAATCTAGGCATCGCTTTTGAAATATGCCAAATGTTTAGTTACTAACGAGTGTGACGAATTGCATGTTAAAAAATAAAAACTAACTTGGGGGGATCCAAAAGATAAGTTCTCTCTTTGAAGTCACCTCAACCTCTTCGCCTGTCAAGTCAATTGACTCATCTATGCCGTCATCATTTTGGATTTCCTCTGCTGCAATTTGCTTCAACTGTGCAATCACTTGCTCAAAGCGGGAATGATCTACAAGATAATGTTTATTGTCATGTAAAACTTAATTCTATAACAATCTGATTAACATTTACCTTTGGAACGATTAGTTAGAGCATCATGAACTCTTGATGGATGTCGCTGCTCTTCTTTCTTATACTTCAGTCTTACCTGAGCGCGTGTCCGCCCAGGAAAGTGTTGTATCATGGAAAAGTCTGAGCCAAATTGCCGTATGGCCTACAGATGAAACAAATGCCAAATTTCTCTTTCAGATACATTATACAATCATATCATATAAAATAAATGGCTCTATTATCTCCAACTATTTGAACAGATGCAAAGTAGGGTGATGTACCTCATACAACACTTCTGTGTCCTCTTTTGACCATCGGACTCGGGGTGTTTTTTCCATGTAAGTTTGATAATTAAAGTAGATGGTACTATCTTCCACCTCATTAGTTGTTTGTTCCTCAAACGCTTCTCCATTTTCATCTTCATCAAAAGTAAACCTCTCCTCTTCATTGTTCAATTCAGACGAGTTATCAAAATTGCTGAGATCAAATTTTACTATCGGGATCATGTTGTCTAAACCAATTTAAAAGCAAAGAATCTAAAAGCGCAACACAAGTGGATCTTGGTTCAGAAGGGGAATGACACATAACAATAACACTTAACACCACATAAAATACCTCTGGTTTACTTGTGGTTGTGGGTTCTGTAGTGCTGCCTCCTTTTTCTGCATGGGAAGAAACAACAATTTTTAGGTGGGGAACTAGAATCTTTATCCATCTCAATGTCCAAAAATCTTGCTTTTTCACCCAGGGAGAGAGTTTCTCAAATAACCATCAGTTGATTGAGAAAAAGCAAAAAAGGACAATATTGTACCGCCAACCGCTCCTTGTGCTCTGCAAGCAAAATTAGATCATTGATTCGCACTCTTTGGAAGTCAATCTCATCCTCTGGAGTATCCAATAAAGCCTTGTCCACTGCAAAACAAAAGAATTTTTCTAAACAAAGTATTCATCAAATTTAACCTACCCTCCACGCTCACAAAATTTAACTATAACCTTACCCATCCTTCTCTTCTGCCGAGTTGTGTGAAAAAACTTTTTAGGTTTCTCTTTAGTTGCCTGCTCAGTTTTATCATTAGCTTTTTTACGCTTTCTAGCAGGCTTTTCTTCATCACCAGCCTTTTTCGTCCTTTTTTCTTTTGGGATTCATTTTCCACCTGAAACTCTGCATCAATATTTTCATCCTCATTTATAGCAGAGCTGCCAGGCTGTTCAGCTGGAAAATTCACATCAACATTTGGCATTTCCTCATTAACTGGAACTTCAGGTGTAGATTCTGTGGGACGAGCATGATCAAATCCTAAAGATGACAAATCAAGAACATCATCGGAAAGTGCAGGAAGTCTTTCTTTATCCACAAAGTCAGTAGACTGCGAATCTTGTGCACAGGAATTAGGAATGCCAGGTGAAGTAGTTGGAATAGCAAGTTATACATATAATAGAGTTTTAGTATCTAAAGTTTGACCCTTATGTCACTTTATTCTTAAAGTTTGCAGATACATATAACCCTAAAATTTAGCTTGTGTGATATAAGATGTCCCCAAAATAGCTCCTGTTAACTTTTAACAAACAACCTTCACTGACTTCAGCAGAAAATGGAGAAAACATTCTTCTTTCTCCATTTGAACTGAAAAATGAACAAAACCATTTGGTAAACAGAAATTAATTTAAAAATATAAAAAGAAAAACAAAAAAATTTAAGAAGAAAACTTGTCAAATCACCATTGGAACCTTTGTCTGACACTTTGTTATATATTTTCTACTCTCCCTGTTTAGAGAATGGGAGAAGTATGTCTTATGATCTTCTGGTAAGCCACCCAAGTAATTGTTTAGGAGAGAAAATAATAAAACTGTATCCATTTGTCTGCAAAAGTCATGTGGAAATACAGGCTATAGTAATATTAGATGGAGTTATTTCATGGAACAATTTATGTCACAAAAAGCTAATATTTATAGTCATATGATTCATCCAATAACTTTTCAAAAGTAAAGAAATAGAATTTAATTTTCCACCAATAAGAGCTAACTCTAAAGGTAATGAAAGAAAAGATCCCATAAGTAATTAAGGTAAATGATTCCTCACCCAAAGCATTCGTATCATGCGGAAGAATATCATCAAGTGATTCAAACAATCAAACCCAAGAAATATATCAGCACTCTGAATGTTTAAAAAAAATAAAAAATAAAAACATAGTGAGACAGTGCACCAAGCCAGTAACATGAGCAGGGGAGAAAAAAGTTCACCTCTCCTACTGATTTCTCTAAGCAACATTGCGAGTCTCTATTGTTTTCAGGCATGTAAGTGTCACCCTCCATATGTGAAACAACTGGTGCACATGCATTTTCTGCAGGAACAATATGTTCACTTGATGTAAGATTTTCCCTAATAATATATATTATATATTATATATTAGGGCCTTAATTAAGTGGTGCAAGTTGACTAGGCTTATTAAGTGGTCTGGTTGGACTTAATAATTAGTAGTTGTTAGTCAACCAAACTCTGTGCCTAATATAACCTGGATTGATGGGATACAAGATTATGGATTAGATAGCACATTCAGTTACGGTACTCAGATCGCTCAATAGACACCAATACACCATCTAGGGTTCTGAGTCAGGTCTGAGACAAAACATGGCTAACGGTATACCGTTAAGAGGCAACACAACAGGAACATCAACTATGGCTGGAGATCAACACGGCTACGCTTCCGCTCTCATACGAGGTCAGGTTTCTCGTATACTATGGTTTATTATAGTTAGACTATTGTATATCTAACATTTGGTATCAGAGCCTTTATAATCTCTGTCTGGTTGATTGTTTTGCCTAAACAATATTCAGTTTTCATATACATTAATTTTCCGTATATGGCTTTGGATATTAATTTTTCAAAATTAACATATAAGATATCTCTATTTGGTTATGATTTATTGAAGAAATTGTATATGTTAATTGAAGAATTAATTTTGTTGGAATTCTTGGAATTTAATTCTGACATTAAGCAAAAATATGAGCCGTGAATTACGCCATTACGCGAGGCATTAGCAGCGGGCTGTGGATCGGAGATGGCATCGCGACTATAGACGACGACGACGTTCGTGGCTCAAGTCTGGACGGCACTGCTTCTTCTGGTGACGACGACGGCGGCGCGAGTTGGAATGGCAGGCGGTGGTTGTTGGCGTTGCACCAGGGGGGACGGCGGAGGCGAGGCTGGGTTTCCCCGGAAACGTCGTTGCTTGTTCTTCTCCTTCAGGCGACGCCGGCGACGGGCTGCCGCTCTCCATCTTCGTGCTGCTGTTAAGTTCATCGGCCGGGGAAGGCGTCGCGAACAGGGGTGAACGGCGGCGTGTCGCGGCGAGGAGAGATGGCGGAGCCAGGTTGTTTTTCCAGCGTCGTCGCCGTCCTCTACCCTCCTTCAGGCGACATTGGTTCCGGCCGGCGGGTTGCCCCTCGTAGCTTCAGTGGCGCTGCTGATTCACCAAGGCTGCATCGGCTGATTAATTAGAAAGAAGATGATGGTGATGGAAATAAAATTTGGGCCGGGTCTGACCCAGTCCACTATTAAAAAAAAATCATCTTGGGCCTATTTAAGCATTTTAGGCCTGCTTCAGCTTTCATTCATCATAGCACTTCTTCTAATTTAATTGTTCAACTTTAATTTCTCCTTAATTCATTATTAAATTATCATTCAATTTGGGGCAAACATTAAGTTCTAATTTGCTGTTTGAATTTTAATTTAATGTTAAGGTATATATTAAATTGCCTAAAGTATTGCAATTTATTTAGTATATATGAGTTAATAATGTATTAATTTGCACATCCAAGCATGCTACGTATATTCACAATAATTATACATTCGTAAAAGCATGCATTAAGGTTGGATTTAGCATATTATTAACTCATAAATTCATTATTAAATATCATTTAATTTTGGATCCTTAGGTCAATTTTAGGTATTATGACCTACTAAATCAGTTTGTTTGGTTTCCCCTTAATTTTGAGCACATTTTTGTTTTATGTGTCTCAGGGACTTTAGAACCTATTTTGAACAAACGATTTGAGACCTATCTTGGGTCATTAAAGTATGGATCCCACCATTTTGATTGATATTTTAATAATAATTATAGCCCCTTATAACATGTTTATTAAGTTAAAATTATTACTAACTACCATATTTTGGTATTCATCGTTGGTAATAATATTAAGTTTTGGGTCTATTTTAGTACTTAGACCATTTTTTATTCATGTTATAATTCACTTGGGTCATTGAGGTTTATGAGCCTAATTTGAGTGATTAAGTGCTATAATTATTGTCTTGGCCTGTTTAGAGACATTAAGGATTTAATTGTTATTTTGGCCATTAAGAACTATAACTATTGTTTAAGTTGATTAATTTTTTAATCTATCAATAGTTTCAGGGCCTTAATAATAATATTAAGTCTTTAATTTTATGGCAAAAACAATATAGTTGGTATATTGTTTGTTTAATGGTAATTTGATTATTACCTTAATTACAGTCTCCCTAAGTATCATAATAGTCAGGGTTAATTATTTATGTGATAAATTGAGATTAGTATTTGGCATCCCTTAATTACAGTTTTGCCATTTATTAAGTTAAAATTCGGCATTATTAATTACTGTTATTAAGTTTAGGGACTAATCTTATTTTATTACCTTTCATAATAATTATTATTTCATGGTAATCTGCTATATTTGGTACATTGGCATGATTACCACTTCATTTCACATGACTATTAATGTTGGTAATTAAGTCCTACCAATAAATTTTTTAAATGTACCATTGGACGCTGCATCGAGGCTACTGACACCGACAATAAAGATTGGGAGAATTCTGGAGTTTTTTCTTCTCTTGTGGATCGTCATCGTTGTTAGCGCAATGGGCAGATGCGGTTTGCATCATTTAGGTTAGTCATTAATTATGTTTTATGGTTGTTATTGATAATTAGTGCTACAGTTACAGTTAACCGCTAATTTGGACTAGTCACATATTTTATCTTTAGAAAATGGAAACATTAAAAGTGCATTACCATACTTTAGTTTGTCATTACTAGTGTTAATAGTGATTATAATGTTACTTATTGCTATTAATAATTAATTAATGATAACATTAATATTGTTATGGTATTCAGATATGCATCTTAAACTGTTTCCATATAAATTTATGTGACAATATTCCAGTACAAAAAAAATAATTTTCTTGACATTAATGTTTTTCGGACTTCAAATTTTATTAAGTTTTCAAAATTTTATCCGAAAATGTTTATAAATGTTAGCGGTTTTAACCATTGTTTTTCCATATTTAGTCTCCTATGTGATAATATTATTATAGCTATTTATTGCTATTTTGGTTATTTGCAATTTTGCCATTAATAATAATATTATTAACTAGGTTATGGAGAGTGATTTTGAATCAATTTAGTAATGTTGGAAAAACATATTTTCTCGGCAATTAACTTTTGCCATTAATTCCATAATTCATTTAGTTCTTTGAATTATGATTTTAGTTCTTATTGCCCATATTTGGTTAAGTATGAATAAATGAATATTTTGATTAAATTCATATCCTTTAGTTGGTTCATACTCTTTAGATTGTTTATGCATTCGATCACATTAAGTGCATAATATTAAGTTTAATTATGTAATTAGGGTTTATGATATTTTAATTTACAAATGCTAGCATATCCTTTTGGTTTGATATTGTTTGAATTTGTAAATTCGGTTATTTCTCATAAATTTGATCTTTATGCATTAAAACATTTTCCCATGGGCTTACAGTTTAAAAATTTTAAAGTATATATTCAATACATTATTATTCAAAATGTTGGGTCTCTTTTGTTTTGGACTCATTGGTGTTTGAATAGTAAATTTATACTTTAAAATATCATGTTGTAAATTGCTTTAAGTTATGCAATTTATTTGGAATACATGAGTTTAATGTTTAATTTTATGCATATTCGTCCTAAGCATAATATTATGTTTTAAATTATGCAATTTTATTATGCCTTTAACAATGCATACTTTGAGATGGAATTATATTAGTTCCTATTTAATTTGGACTTATGCATAAACTTTAGTTGCGGTAGTGCCTGAATTTAAGCACGTTTAGTCCGCTATTTTTAGTTCACCATTTAAGCTTTAATCATAGGTGAATCCTACAGTTTTCTGGTGTATACCATACAGTTTACAGGTTTATACCCCAAACAGTTATACATTAAGTATATATGAATCGGTGAGGCATACTAGTTTTAATGGCCATGACTTAAGAACATCTTGTGCAACTAGTCTCCTTAAATTGATACTCTATTTAAGGAATTGGTTTTCAGTGAGACTTAGTCTCTAACCGCCTTTCCTTGGAGTATATTTAGATTTTCCCATCACAATTTGGTATAATCTGTTTGTCAAAATTTTAAGTATTTCTTGCCAATGTGATTTTATTTCGGTTTATTAAAGAATAGCCAAAGCATCTTTAATTTACTGAAATATCTTGAGTTTTCAATCTTGGTTAATTAAGGAATAGCTACAGCATATTCAGCTACCTAAGATTATTAAGTTTTAATCACATAAAGTTTAGGCATGAATTTGATAATTGTCTAGTGATCTTATAATTTTAATTTGGTTTGGGAGTAGCCACAGCATCCTTAATCTGTTAAAATTATATATTAAGCGGTTTATTTTGATCACATAAAGTTTTGGACATATCATTTGTGACTAATTGTATGTAATATGATGGAATTTAGCCCACAGGCAATTTCGTTATATTTGTATAATTAATCAGGATGAAATACTGGACTACGGTCATAATTTAGCCCACAGGCAATTATGTATTGGAATGTAATTTAGTAGTTTTATCGGTGATGATAGAAATAAATTTATGTATTTGCTTTATGGTTATTTGTAAATAATTTCCAATTCTATCATGAAGTTTAATTTTATGATGTAAACTTTAGATCATATTTCTTAATTTGCCCACAGGGATTAAGAAAAGGAACATGATCTCTTAAGTTTTTTTATCATAATGATAGCAATGAATCTTATTGACTAAAACTTTAGCCTACAGGCAAGTTTTATGTCATTTGATTCTTCAACTCATTTGATAATGGTTTCATCATAAATAAAATTTTTCAGTTAGATCTAATTGAGTAAAACTTTAGCCCACAGGCAAGTTTTATGTCACTAGATTCTTCTGGCTCTTTAGTAATTGAGATAAAATATTATCATAAGGTTTCTTAATTGGATTTAATAGAATTAAAACTTTAGCCCAAAGGCAAGTTTTATGTCAATAAATCCCACCACCCATTAGATGATAATGTTATCACAATTCTTAGAAATTATAAATTTAGTTCAATTATAATTCTAAGTTTCATGGTTTGCATTGGCAAAACATGTATTCAGTCACTTCCCAAAATTTAGCAACTTTTATTAATTGATCCACGGATCTTGCTCGGTTCTTCGGACTAACTGTAGTAAGTTACGTGATTTGACATACCTCTTGGATTCCAATAATGATAAAATGTATCTTTTGAGCCAAATTCTAACTTGGTTTTGAAAGATGTATTTTGTTTATTTTAGTATGTCCAACTATGGTGGGGAATTATATCTTCATTATTTAGTTGGACTTTAATTGGAACCAAAAATTGATTATTTAGTATGTCCAACTAATGGTGGGGAATTATGTCTTCATTTGTTAGTTGGTCAATAAATCGATTATGAGTATGTATATTATTAAGTTCACTTTATTAATTTCGCTGAAGAATGTTTTAATCAGTGGGAGTGATCATTTTTAGAAAAAGATCATTAAGATGCTCCACTAAAGTTTATGGATTTAATTGGCTTCATACATCCTAAATTTGATTGTATGTCAAACAATAAGTCCAAAATATTCCACAAATATTAATCTTGTATTTGTTCATATAAATTCATAAGTTCAAATTATTGAACATTTGGTCGTGCAACATATTTATGAAAATGTTGTAACAATATTAAGGAATTTATTAGAACAAAAACATTTAACTTGTGGTGCACTGTAATTTAATAAATTCTTCAGTGATTAATAGAGTCTTTAGTTTCTTCAAAATTGATCCTGGGTCATTTCGTTTGTAAGACTCAAAACAATTTTGTGGGACATATTAGTAAGACTCATTATGTTCAGTTCATTTAAAATGAACATTGAAGTTATTTGGGAAGTTATGGTGTATGATTAAGATTCCAAATTCATGGACTTAGACCTTTGGTTTATTGTCTAAGTTATTGGAATGCTTCTGTGACTTGACTATCTTTTGGCTATTTGTGATGAGTGGGAGTGACAGACGTGTCAACTTCAAGCTCTTAGCTGTTAGAGATAGTACTTAAAGTTAACTTATAAAGAACTCATAGAATATAGTTAGCATTATGCTAACATGAAGAGATCTCTACTTAAGGCATGCTTATAAAGTTTTAGAGATCATACAGTGTACTCTTTTGTACAATTTGGATGTGTTTTCTCCTTCAGTTGTGCACATAATGTATTTTGAGAAGCATCCCTTAAGGTACCGAGAATAAACATAGGGTTTGTTCATTAAGGACCTAAGTTGGAGAATTAAAATGCATATGACCATAATGGACACTACTCTGATTAAATAGAGGACATGTCACTATGATTCGTGTATTTTGTTCTTTGATGATGGTTGTGCTAATACTTGCACCAAGTGGGAGAATGTAAGATTTTTCTTAATAATATATATTATATATTATATATTAGGGCCTTAATTAAGTGATGCAAGTTGACTAGGCTTATTAAGTGGTCTGGTTGGACTTAATAACTAGTAGTTGTTAGTCAACCAAACTCTGTGCCTAATATAACCTGGATTGATGGGATACAGGATTATGGATTAGATAGCACATTCAGTTACGGTACTCAGACCGCTCAGTAGACACCAATACACCATCTAGGGTTCTGAGTCAGGTCTGAGACAAAACATGGCTAACGGTCTACCGTTAAGAGGCAACACAACAGGAACATCAACTATGGCTGGAGATCAACACGGCTACGCTTCCGCTCTCATACGAGGTCAGGTTTCTCGTATACTATGGTTTATTATAGTTAAACTATTGTATATCTAACACTTGAGCCATCATAAAAGACACCAATCAGTAAAAAAATGACAAAACAAGGGATTTAAAAAGCAGCACATTGTGTTCATTTCAGGCTGAGTAATATATTTGAACTGAAAATTAAGCATGTTTTTTCAATGCTGAAAAGATGACAACTTTATTGAAAATAAATACACAGTATGAAACTTTATTATGTCCAAAAACAAAAACATACGGTCCTGTTTGGTAAAAAATTAGCCTATAGGTCAATTTTGGCTTATTTGACCATTATTAATTGTTTGACTTAGTTAAAATATCAATATAAATGTTTGGTTAATTAGTTTTTTGCAACTCCAAAAGACTAAAATTCAAAAAGCTACTCCAAGCAACTTTTTTAATTAGCTTTTTGAGAAAAGAAATTACACCAAACAGCTATCAGCTAACAGCTAATTTACCAAACATTTTTCTACAATCAGCTAATGTTATCAACTATTTATACCCTCTAATTAACACAATCAGCTATCAACTAACAGCCATTTTACCAAACAGGGCCACATTAAGAAAAAACTAACCTTTTGTGGATAACTGTCCAGCCTTGAGAGCCTAGTCCCTTCACGTTTATCAGCACCACCCAAATGGTTAGATTGTGATGAAGGGGCAGAAGAAGTGGCTGCGGCAACGGGTCCTCCTTTTTTTGCCTTTGGTTGAAATTTACCAACTGCCCTTGCTGCAATCAAACACATTACTACTCAACCTGAATTGTAAAACTGAATGTGAAAAAATAAAAAATCTTTGAATACTAACAAGTCTTAGCTGCACCATCGGAAAATAAGTTATTTAAAGAATCCATCTAAGCTTTCCTGAACCAAAACAATTAATGCGGTGTTAAAGGGTTTTTGACCCGCTTTGTAAATATTTCCAACTGAAGCGTGGATTCATCAATGGCGATGGTGCATTCTAGCCTTAAATCCTTACTAAAATTTCCGATTGCGAGCCGCGACGTTGTTATTACATCGTTGAATTCTTCCTTCTGCTGGCACAACTGTACCCGCGCCTGCTCAACACTGACGAGTTCAAGGAATTAAGGATAATGCGACAGAAAATCAGCCCAAAAAAAGGCGATACCCGAAGAAGCAATGCGTCTATTAGGCCGGCGTTTCTCCGGCAAAGCCGCGAGAAGTGCGTGCGGCGACTAGTTTTGGCGTAAAATTTCCAAAGCTATTTAGGGCATCCTCGGTAGTTTTGGGAATTTTATCTCAGATTTTTTTGAACCCTAATATCCACATCATCATTTACTATCTCATTCAATCACAAAATCTTTTTTCCCCATTAATTTTAAATTTTTCACAATTTGCCGGTTATGCAGATTTTAGGGTATGGATACCAAAATTGCGTGCATGAAAAAATGGATACATTTAAGGGAAATCCGACTCTCTGAAAATAGAAAGTCAGAAGAATCACATACGAATTACATTTTAATTTTTTTCTACTACCAGCGTCCGCTTTTCAAAACATAACTCTTCCCAACATTAACTTTTCTTATTTATCAATATTACCTTTCTCATTTATCAACATTACATTTCCCATCTACCCATATTAACTCCATTCATCTACCCACGTGAACCCATTCGTCTTTTTCAGATATCAGGCTTAACTTTTTCAAATATCAGGCCTACTCTCCTACTCTCTCTCTCTCTCCCCGAATCACGTGCCCTACCCATCTTTCCTTGTATTAAACCCCACCCTTTGTCATTAAATGAAGAGCAACATCAGCTTCAAACCCCACCCCTTTTCCAAAGCTGTTATCTCTCTTCTCTTCCCAAGGTTGCTTTTTCGGAATCCACAAATTATGTTCTCAAAGTTGCTTTTTCGGACTCCACAAATTATGGTCTCAATGTTTGCTTTTTCGGATTGAGCACAATAAATAGCATTTCCTAAACTTCACTACAGAATTGAGCACAATAGATAGCATTTCCCTTTCGGAGTCCACAAATATCACTCAAAGGTTTTCTCTCTTTCGGCATATTTGTGTTTTCCTCTCTCCTTTAAAATTTTCGGAACTCCACTTGTATAAAAAAAAAACTTATGTTATCTTCAAAGCTTCTTCCCAAGCCACTTCTCAAACATCAAGTTTGGATCAACAGTGCATCTTCTCTATCAGGGCCGGTCCAAACATTTTATAGGCCCGGGGCAAAATTGAAAAAAAGAGTCCCTATATAAAAATTTTAAATTTAAATTTAATAATACTAATAAAATCATGATGTCAAATAATATGAATATGATTAGAAAATTTTCAACAATTTTTTTAAATACAAAAACATTCATGTCATTCAATCTCTGCAAAAATAAAGATTAATATTTTGCATAAATAAATGAAATTATAACATATAAGTCAATTAATTCCGAATAAATCCCCATTAATATTTGGACATCAACATTCAACAGAAGAAATCCACAAAGATTAAAAGGAGGCAATATGAATCACTACAGCAAAGTAATTAGTAAATTAAACCAAAAAATTACTTTGGCATCTGAAAAATGTCATTTTACTTTGAGAAGGAATAGATACAACATACAGCTTATTCAATATTTCAATTAACAATTAAGAATTTAGAATTCTGGATAAATGGATAATTATTTAATCTGCAAACTAAGCCATGAAAATCCCAATTAAAAATTATTATTCTTAAATAAATTATAGAGCTTTCAGAAATAAGAATTCTACAAATTCCTAATGCAGTGCAATTCTACAATTCTGCAAATCCCAATTCCTAAATGGCCAAATCATAGACTTTTCAATAATACAGTTAACAATACAATACGGTCTAATTCCTAAATCATAGCTTTCAAAAAAAATCTCAAATCATAAAAATTAAAATATCTTTGCAAATTACAATTGTAGACCGGAGTGGTGAAGGCGCGACGAACAGAGTCAGGACCGACTGACCGCAGAGAAGATTTTATATTTGTGGATTATGAAAGTAGATTGTCGATTCACTCAGTTGCCCATTATTCTCCTCCTAAAAGGTTGAAATCCCCATCCCTAAGCCCCCCCCCCCCCCCCCCACCCCACCCCACCCCTCAATTTTCCATTCTTATTTAGCTTGAGAGGAATTGAACGGTTGCTGTGGCGGAGAGGTATTAAATGGTTGCAACTTGCGATGCGCTGATGCCTCTTTTCTTCGATTCTTCCTGAATCTTCCATCTATTCGACTTCCATAAGAATTCATTAAGTCAAAAATAATTAAATAATTTTTTCTAATATATACTAAGTAATATATACAATATACAATATATTATTATATCTTAGTTTATGGGCCCCCTCTAGGGATGGGCCCTGGGCAGGGGCCCAGCCTGCCCATGCCCCAGGGCCGGCCCTGTTCTCTATACCGCATCTTCTCTACACTTGTGCATTATTGAGGTAAAAAAAAAATTATATTTGAGTTATTAGACTTATTATTTCGTTATGTTGTTTTATTGTAGATTATATCGAATTGTAGTATATTATTTCTTGTTTTAGTGGTAAAATGAAGTTTAGGAAAAAAAATTCAGACTTTGATGTATGTAGTGTTTATAACATTTATTTAATAGTAAAAAAATATTGTATATAGCTAGTGTAATTACTCGTAGTTGACATATTATTTTGGTCGTTTTTTTTTTCAATGAGGTGTATATATTTTTTGTTGTAAAAAAAAAAAAAAAAACACGAAAAGAGGATGTTAGTTTCAACCTAATGCTCCGTTAAGTTAAATTTTTTTTTTTAACGGTAAAGTGATAAAGAAGACGGACGAAAATTGTTATTTAATATTTTATTTACAAATTTATTGTTCTATACTTAGGGAATATCAAATTTTAGTTAGAAAAGATAAAATTGAGAGTTTAAAAAATATACATATTTAAAATGCAGTTTACATATATTTTTTGATGCATCCTACATATTTAATTTATGTACTTGAAATATGTAAACTACATTTTAAAATGCAGTCTCCCGAAAAATTTAAAATGCAGTTTACATATATTTTTTGATGCCTCCTAAATATTTCATTTATGTACTTGAAATATGTAAACTACATTTTAAAATGTAGTCTCCACGAGTTTCCGGGTTTGTTGAATAAAAAAAAAAATTAAAAAGAATAAATTATATGTAAAACTCGGACCGTAATGGTCCGAGTTTTACTTGTATAAAAACAGAAATTGTAATTCGGACCATTTTGGTCCGATTTAAAAAAAAAATTATTTTGTGAAATTCGGACCAAAATGGTCCAAGTTTCGGCTTTCTAAAAAAAATAAAAAATAAAAAAAGTGACGTCGAGAGTGGTGTAGTCCGATTTTCGGACTTATTTGAATTTAATTGTTCTTAATTGTCGCACTTGTTATTCGAAGTTGTTTAAATGTTTTTAATTTGTAAGTATTATGAATTGTTTTGATACAGTTATGGCAAATGACTGAGTGCATCCCGGGCCACTACAGGAGGGTGCGTTACCATTTCAAACCCGTCATCGTAGTAGAGCAATTTGGACGGATTCAACGTATGACGTCCAACTTAAAGCCGTGAAGTACGATACATTGACGAGGTGTGCAGCCGTGGATGATGATAGAGTTAAAATGTGACTGCGAATAGCTGGCTTTTATGGTGATTCTCAGCTTACCAAAATACAGTTGGATCATGGGCTTATTACTGCCCTTTTAGAGCGATGGAGGCCTGGGGTCTACGCTTTCCACATGCCCTTCGGTGAGGTTGGAATAACTCTTCAAGATGTAGAAGTGTTATTCGGCCTTAAGGTCGATGGACTTTTGGTGACGGGTGAGGATACAATTGGCACTACGGCAGAAGTAAAGTTAATGTGCCTTGAGTTGCTGGGATTTGAGCTTGCCAATCAGTTCCTGTCAACGACCATGATTCACGGGTCAGTTGTCCCGGACGTTCAGGCTCTTCATGCGGAGAGCGGAGACGAAGAAGTGTTGTTGGCAGAACGACGTTTGATATATTATTTATTAGACGGTTTTTTGATAAACATTATTTTTAGTGTTATTTTTAATGATATTTTTATAGTTAATTTGCAATAATTGATTAATTTATATCGATTTTTATTTATTTATGCTATAATTAGTTTTTAGTAATATTATTTAATTTTAACTTGTTTTAATTATTAAATTTGTTTTATTATTTGAATTTTGTCAATCTAATAATTCATTGATCCTAATTTAATAATAATAATAATATTAATTAGTTTTAGTAGTACATAATTAGTAGGAGTTTAATAAGTGTAGATGAGTTATATATGGTCTCTAATAAAGTTTATTATTATTATTATTATTATTATTATTATTATTATTATTATTATTATTATTATTATTATTATTATTATTATTATTATTATTATTATATCAATAATGAAGGAATCAGACTTCTTCTCGGTCATAGCTACGATCCAATTAACTAGGAGAAGAATTCTCCATGGCTCCGTAGAACTTAGCGGAGAAGTGGCTTAGCTTGGCGGGAACAATATAAAAGGAAGCCACGATTCATCATTGAAGATCGTCAATTTAGCTCCGGACCAATTCCGGAGGCTTCTGATCGGCGGCTGATTCTGGTGTTCGGCAGACCTGGGCAGCGCAGCGCAAATCAGACCATAATTCCCTTCTCATTTCTGATGAACGACTTCTCCGTTGGCCGCTGTTTTTGAGCATTCTGGTTCTTTTCCCTATTCTTCAATATTGTTAAATTTTCAGTGGCTCTTTCTAAATGTCTGAATTTTATTAGTGTCGGTTCGTGAACTTTGACTTCTAATTTTTGAATGCAGTAGTAAATTTTCTTGGACTTCTTATTAAACACTTATTTTCTTTTCTTAGTTTAATCAATTTTGACATTTAGTTTATGTGTTTATGTTAAATCAATTTGTCATTTATAAGCATGATCAAATTGCCATTTGTACTCCATTTAGAATTTCAATTAGGTTTAGCTAATATTTAGCAGCAGCAAGCTTTAATATTCTAGTTGTCCTGGTTTTTCCTTCTCTTCAATTCGTACAATCACTGCTTTAATATTTCAATTTTCAAGTACTTAGCCTGATTTTAATTATTGATTTTAAATTGCGTTCCTAGTTCTTTCCACTTTGCTTGAAAGTTTAGATTCTAGTTCTTAGTAATACATTTGTTTACCTTCCTATGTTTGATTCAAGTATTTTACATTTAAATTGATCATTATCTTTTACATTCTATTCTAGTATTTTCAATTATCAAGTTAATCAATTTTAGGTAATTAAATTGTATTTGTATCAATTCCCTGTGGGTTCGACCCTTGCTATTGCACACTATCACTACAACTGATTCGTGCACTTGCGAGAACACTAATTAAAATTGTCCATCATTTTTTATTTCCCGACGCAACCAAAGGAAAATATAAATTATACTTGCTCCTGTACCTTAGTATTCTGTACGTTTGTGGTGAATATTGTTGGGATTCGGTTGTTCTGTGATGTACACGACAAACTACATTGTATGGGTGTCTTCTTCTAGTCCAGATTTGGGCATGGGAGAGACTGCCTATGTTTAAGCCGAAAGGTGTATTGCCGCACGACCAAATCGCTGACTACCCTATTGCATACAGGTAACGATCTCTAAATTGGCTGCATCAATGTTTTAATATTGAAGTAGTAGTATTTATTTACTTTGAAATTGTTGTAGGTTGGTTTGTCGGCACTCTTGGTTATCAATGCCTACGCACACTATCTTAGCCTTCGCGATCAATTAGATCGCCTAGCTGAACATAGAGTAAGTAATTTTACGACTATGAATACTTTTATTTCGAATATTATTTTAGTCAGTTCATATTTTATACACTGCGTATTTTATGTTAACATCGTGAGATTTATATTTTCTATGCAGTTTATTTTTACCCCTTACGATGACTATCTCGATGCCTTGCCCCCATATTGCAAAGCGGGGAGGACTTTGTGGACTGCCCGTATTCCGCTTATTTTTTACCACGTGGTGGAATATCACCAGCCTGACCGGTTCTGCAAGCAATTCAATGGTTTGCAGGTTGTGCCAGTAGACGTGGTATACGACCAACGGTTGCACGATATGGACCAACGGGGTAAGTCTGGTACTAATTGGTCACAAAAACACGCAGAGCACGTGGCTCGTTGGAATGCTTGGTATGATTTGGTTATCAACATGCAAAGAACTGATCGACCGCAGGTGGTGGATGGGTACCGCACATGGTACTACATGCACGGTCGACGTCTTATTGGTAACCCAACGCATTATAGTAACCAGGGATTTGTGCAGTGTGCAGCATCACTGAACGATGCGGTTAGTATATTACAAATGTTTTGCAATAATTGGAATAGATTTACATTTGTTATTATTTTATTTGTAATAATTCCTAACGCATTTTGTTTAAATTAGATGCATGCTTTCAACCGGTTGATGCTAGATTCCGGGCAAGTCCTCGACAATCCTGACGCCGATCGCGATGCATACATTAGGGATGTTCAGCAGCGGAGTCCTGATATGTTGATCAATACTGAGTACGAGTTCCTATTGCACGTGACGTCGCAGCAAAACTTTGGGGCCCCGATGCCGGATGAACCATTTGGCCCTCCCCAAAAATTTATTTTATAACTCGTACCACAATGGTCTGAATTAAAATTTATGTTTTTCAAAAAGTAAAACTCGGACCGTTAGGGTCCGAGTTTTACATATAATTTATTTATTTATTTATTTTTTCGGAATCAACAAGTAATTCCATAGTAATGTCAAAAAAAAAAATTGAAATTGCAATGAATAAAAGATTATAAAAAATTCCGAAGCATGCATTACATTGATAAATCGAATAATAGGTGTCCGATTCATGCATTACATTGATGAAAATAAATTTCAATTTTTTGAAGATATAACCATTCTACGATTCTTCATTTAATCGTGCGTAATTGTAAATCTGAAAGGCCCACAAATGATTATATAGGACTTCCGGACCACAACGAGAGAATACAATTAAGTTTATAGTTCCAATATCAAAATTCAAAAACAACAAATTATGAGCTCCGTCGAAGGGGCAAATGTTCTCCGCTAATTCCAAATACGCATGTCGATAGTAATCGTTGTGGAATCTGTTTGTGGTAGTGCCATGTACCACATCAACGAAGTCATTCTCAGTCACTGTCACAGCAATGAAGTCTATTAGTAGCGACTGTTCACGAGAAAACTCACCGATATCAATCAATAATGTCTGGCATCCTATAAGTGATTCAATTGAAACACTAGGATGGATGCTCGACCTCGTTGGTACAGCAATAATTCCACCGGTACTACCAGGAGCTATGTCACGGCTGTCCCCATCACCTAGGGCATGTTGTAGTTGAACTTGAGTCCTATTTCTTATGACAAAAAATTAAAATTGAAAACGACCAACATGTCGCATGACTATTTGGTCATGCTCTGCAATTCCATAAGCATTAAGAAATTCTTCACAGTCTCCGTAACAAGACATTCCTTCAACATGCAACTCCCACGAGTCGGACAGACCGTGGTATAGTAGTGCGGTGCGGTTGACGTGCTCAACAAGGTGTTCAAACATGCAGTATGGCATTGCAAAGGACCATGGCGCGACATACTGAACGATAAACCAACCTATTGTGCCGCCCAAAATGTTGTGATGAGATCCGAGTGTGCGGATTATTCTACAAACTGCATTTTTAAACGAAACACCTTATTAGAAAAACAGAATACATGCGCAAAAATTGCTCGGCTCTACGTCCGGTGTTTATTGTGGTGGGGAATGTAATGGAAAATCCTAAAACATTCATTACCATCAACCACGTTTGTGAAACGACAAACGTGTAATTTGTTCGTCCCTGCTCTCTCATTAATGAGAACATACAATAACACCGATTGTGTATTGTATGAATAAAATATGTAACTATATTCACTCCATTCGGTAGCTGAAGTTCGTTAGAACTGTATAATGCCCACATTTCCATCTCTCACAACGTAGTTTATACAAACAACTGAAAAATAGAATATCTTTGGTAATTAAAATATCTTTGCACTGATGTTACATTTTTTATTGTGATGGTTGCATGTATTTATACTGCTGATTCCATACTGAACAATACAATAATTTATGTTACGAATAGTCATTCATATTAAACGAGTAGTCATCTCTTACTGATTCACAATAGCAATACAATCAGGAAATCTATTTGTCTCGGAAATGAGAAAATGGATTGTCTTTATCTCGGGAATCTATTCGTCTCGAAAGTGACAAAATGGACTGGCTCCGCGTCGAAAACGTAAAAAGGTTAAACTTAGACCATTGTGGTCCGAATTTGACAAAAAAAAAAATATATAAATCGGAAGATCATGGTCCGAATTCTAATTTTAGTTTAAAAAAAAAAAAAAGGTAAAACTCGGACCGTTAGGGTCCGAGTTTTACATATAATTTGTTTTTTTTTCTTTTTTTTTTTCGGACTTTACCCATCATGTAAGTGAATAAATAAAATCTTTCCGGGTTCAACAAGTAATGTCAGCGAATATGGACGGTCTCTAAATAAAATCTTTCCAACTTAAAGAAGCAATGTCAGCGAATATATTCGGTTCAAATTACATAAGCAATGTTACGAATAGTCATTCATATTAAACGATTAGTCATCTCATACTGATTCACAATAGCAATACAATCAGGGAATCTATTCGTCTCGGAAATGATAAAATGGATTGTCTCTACCTCATAAATGTAATACTGATTCACAATAGCAATACGAATAGTCATTTCATATTAAATGAGTAGTCTTCTCATACTGATGCAGCATAGCAATAGCTTCGGGGAATATATTCGTCTTGGAAATGATGAAATGGACCATTCTTGACTTGTAAGGGAATATATTCTTTCCAACAAAGTCCAAAAAAATTCTTCACGATAAGGTACTTCTGAAAAGCAATCTAAGAAAAGAAATTATGACATAATATATTCCCTTAGATTGCTTTTCTCACCCTAAAATCTGCATAACCGGCAAATGCACCCGTGCAAATCCGCGAGAAACAGCGGGAATGTGCGTGCGGCAACTAGTTTTGGCGTAAAATTTCCAAAGCTATTTAGGAGAGGTTTTTTGGTTTCCATTATTTATAATTAATAAAATAAAATTTTTAACTTCTATCGTCCATAAGTGACTATTTTCGTAATTACTTTTTTTTTTGTTAAAGTCTAGTTGAAACGCAATTATAGAATCTAATCAAAAAAGTGTCTAAATTGTCATTCTTCATTTTTGTTTCAAAGACATTTAATTATTGCCAAAGTCATCTGATTATTGTTTTAACAAAAATCTAATCTCAAACTTAATGTTATACTTCGTCGCCTAACTTAATGTCATGAGTCATGACTGAAAACTAAAGTATTTGAATTGAATTGAATCCCTTATCAAATATAATATATATATATATATATATATATATATATATATATATATATATATATAATTATTGTCAAGTACCTTAGATATCATTATTGTTACTATTAAAAATCAAAACAAATAAATGACATTTTTTCATAGTTACCATAATTGTTCTTGAATTCTCATTATTGTTACTATTAAAAATCAAACAAGTAAATGACATCTTTTCATAATTACCATAATTGTTCTTGAATTCTAGACATTTATTCTTTAGAAGTGAACGCATTTTAACAACTTACATAAAAAAAAATACTAATTCGTACAGTTATAAATGTATGTAAATAGCCGCGCCCTTAGAGTTGGAGATTCAACCTTTTGGGAGAAGAAAAATGTAAATAGCCATAACACTCAACTTACATTACAAATTCTTACAAGAGTAATGCTAAAAGAGTAAACATTAGAAAGTGGTGGATGAGGAACAAAATTTGAATGAAATATATGGCCGATTATTCCCTCATAATCATTACAAAATTGTGTAAAAAAAAAAAAAAAAAAAAAAATTATACAGAAAAAAAAAAATTGGAATTGAGCTTAAAAGTTTGAGCAGTGGCAAGTAGTAGGTTTTAGTTGGTCTTGGCAGTCTTCCTTGAGGCTCTCCCACCACCACTCTTGCCTCTCTTCCGTTTCTGTTCACCATGCTTATGCTCCTCACCTCTTTCATGAGGATTCACATCCTCAAATTTAATAGGTTTTATGATCACACCAGCTTTCTTAACCACCTGTGGAAAATAAAGACGACAACGTAGTAAAGTAATTATGTATATAACTCCCTTTGTATGAAAGGAAAAAAGTGGCGTGTTTGAGAATTATACCTCTGGACGATTAAGAGCTCCGATTGCTGTTACAGGGTTGAACTCTGGTCCGATGGGCATCCGAATGCTCTGTTCAAATACTTCTGTGGATGTGTAGGGGTAAGGCAATGTCTTGGTATGTAGTTTTTCAGCCTGACAGAAGAACATAAACACATTCATTGAATACAGAATATTTGTATAAGCAAGCTAAAATATCTAACACCAATTTCCATCATCGAAATCTTGTATGGAATAAAATACTGAATCGTTGGGAAAGTTTGAAAATGAGAGAATGAAATGCATAATTGAGAAAGACCTTTTTATCCCACTTCTCGGAGATTATAACATGATTAAGACGGGCATCCTTCCTCTTCTTGAGGGCTTCTTCCCTTTTAATTCTGGCATTCTCATGTTGCTCAAGCATCCAAGAGGGTGGACCTTTCTTTTTCTGTATATTCGTCCATTGACCCCAGCCAGGAAGTAAAGCTGGCTTTTCAGGTTCTGGATTTTCCTCATTCAAGATATCCTGTTTTTCTTTCTCAAAGACTTCTTCAACATCGTCACCTGCAAAAGCACGCCGGATAAGTTCTTCCTGAGATGGGAGTTCATAACTTGACTTAACCCCAGACGACAACATCCCATCAATCATTTGCCCTCCGCTATCTGAATCACTCACATCATCCATTTCCTACATGTAAGACAGTTCAAAGAAATAAAGAAACAATCCCACAATAATATTTTACAATCTAAATCACACAAGCCACATGTCAAATGCAAAAAAAAGGATATTTACCTCTGCATCACTGTCATGCACTGCAGATTGTGTAATCCCTTTAGAGTCAGCAACAGAGGCACTCTTGGTGATTCTCTTCTCATTATTATCTGATAAGTGTTTCATCTGCTAAGAATCCGAAAAAAGTAGTCGCTGTGAGTGCTAATGTTTGTTTAAAAAATAACAAAAATCTAAGCAAATTAAGGCAACAAGTTAGACCTTTTTCTTTTCCTTAGGTGCCATAATAGCAACTTCATATGTGGTCTTGGGCCCAGGGTCTTTAGTAATGTCCTCAAAACTCTGAGAGTCATAAAAGTTGAAATTAACATCACCCCTCAAATAAATAATACAAATGACCAACATAAAAAAAGACTATGTCACTATCCTGCACGTATCAGAAATCCAATTACCTTAAAAATGGAATAATGATCAATCTCAGACTCTTCACGAAGTACATTAGGATCAAAAGAAACTTCCACTTGAGAAGTCTTATTTTTGCCAAACCCCTCATCTTTTGCTTCATCAGCATCCACGCCTTCACTATCACTGTCACCATAATAATTGTCTGACTTCGTCTTATCACTAGGCTGTTGAACCTGTTTCTTGGAAGCCCCAAAGACCCTCCTACCACTCAACACATTCTTTTCTTGAGTTTCAGCAACATTTTTGTCCTTCAACTCATTCAGTGATACTTCATACTGCTGAAGAGCAACCTTTGCTTCTTCATCAGCTTCCTCCTTCCTCTTTTTCAAGCTGCGGGCCTACCCCAATGAAATCAATATAAGTTAAAAACTATAGTCCAAAGTGATATTTGCACGATGGCAAGGGGCCAACCACAAAAAGTTAAAGAAGATAGAAAAAATGTACAAAAAAAAACTACCATAAAAGGTAAAGACAACACTCCTGTAGTAGGCAATTCTTCATCCTCTTCAAGTACTTTAAGTGTCTTGTCCTTGGCTTTATTCAACAATTTAGTCGCAACATCCCCATCCGAATCAGCTGAAATCTCATCAATGTCATCTTCATCACTGCTCTCGTCACTACTATTACCCTCTTTCATAGAGTTCATCTTCCTAGTTAAAAGAGCATGTTGATTCAGTTGCTCAGCCAAAGCAGCACGAGTTCCTTCATCTTGGACATCCAAACCACGTTTTAAGATGCGTTGTGCCCATTTGGATTTATTCTTGTGTTTCAAAGTCATCCGTTCCTGCATAAAGTTAAAATTCCAAAAAAGCATTTTGAGCCCCAAAAATCAAGACCAAAATGATGTCCTCCATGACAAGTAACAAAAGTTACCTCAGCCCTTTTGAATTCTTGTTTCATTGCCAATTCTTTAGCAGCTTCAGGATCTGTTTCAGCAAAAGTTGTTGCTTTCAATCTGTCTTTCTTCAACAATCGGTGATATGTTTTGGACTTTATATTTTTAAGTCGTTTTGCTTTCATTTCATGGCGAAAAAGAAGGCTGCGCATTTTAGCTAGTTGATTTTGGCGGTCCTTTACATCTTCAATGCTTATCTGTCAAATAAAATAACAAAATAGAGCATGATACAGGGTTTCTATATTCACTTACTTTTCTTACACAGGGTTATAAAATAGAAGTAGAAGAATTGAAAACCATAAAAGGATCTATAACCAACACCCATACCTCATTTAGTTCAAGAAGTCTTGCACCATCTTTTCTATGCTTATCTGTCAAATAAAATAACAAAATAGAGCATGATACAGGGTTTCTATATTCACTTACTTTTCTTACACAGGGTTATAAAATAGAAGTAGAAGAATTGAAAACCATAAAAGGATCTATAACCAACACCCATACCTCATTTAGTTCAAGAAGTCTTGCACCATCTTTTCTATGAGCATCCACTATTTCACTATCACCAACCAAAGAAGCAATTTTCTTTTCAAATTCTGTTCTTGGTTCAAATTCAGCAGCTAATGCACCTACAGTAGAAAATCCCAAGTCTATATCTTCATCAAAATAGATAGTTGATGCTTCTCTGTTTCTCTTGACCAATGGTTCCCACTTTGTAATATCCTTTTTGGATTGTTCATAAGCAGCTTTTCGTTCCAATCTCTCTTGATCTGGTCTAGGGAGAGGTGCATTAATGGACATGGACTTGTTCTCCATTCTTTGTATGTTCTTCCTTAGTTTGCTAAAGCCTGACTTCCCCTGGAGTGGGTCCAGAAGATCTTGAATACTAATGCGGCCATCACCCTCCAGAATATCCCGACTGGGATTATATTCAGACTCTGGATATGCCTCGGATACTATAGCATCACTTCTCTTCTTCTTACCTAACAAAATTTCATCTTTTCAATGTCAATGGATTTAAGTGTCTCTTATATGAAACAAGCCTTAATTTTGGATCAAAATAGTTAATGCAAATTTTGAAGCTAAAAATATTACCTACAAAGGCATCACCGGGCAGGCCAGTTATTTCCTGCAACATCCGTGAATGTCTTTCATCAGCATCCTCCTCAAAATCATCTCTGTCTTGATTATTTTCATCATCTTCATAGTCTTCATCCTCAGACGTCACATTCTCATCCTACATAGAACAGAAAACTCAATGACTAAATAATTCAGGTAGCTCACAGCAGCAAAATTCCAGGCCAAAATGGTTGGTATCAGTAACAATAACTAAATTTGAAACAATCAAATCATTAAGATACCTTGAAGTCTTCAGGAAGTTCATGTAGCTCACTTAAGTAATTCTCCACAGGATCATATCGTTTGTTCTTCTTAGATTCCTCCTCGGCAAAACCTTGTTCGTACTCGTACACATCACCAGCGGCGACATCAGAGTCGGAAGCATCAGAGTCCGACGCGTCTTGAAGAGCAATCTGCTTTCGGAGAACATTGGGCAAGCCCGGCCCATGCCTTCTCTTTCCCCTCTCATCTTTGTTAGAACCCTTCCCACGACTGAACTTCCTCCTCTTGCCTCTGTCTCCCTTGGCTCCCTCCTTGCCTCTGCTCTTCAAATCCGCCATGATTTCCTCTTCAGGGGAGATCTTCGCGCATGTTCTTTGTTGGGCTAATAATAAACCAAGAAAAAAAATGTCAAAAAATAGTCATTTGGAACTCTAGCTTAGTTGGTCCGACCAATTACCTTAAAGTCTTATTCCCGTTCAAGGCTATATAATACTAAAATTCCCAATCTAGTTTTAGGATGCATTTCCTTTTTTATTACAAAAAAATAATCTCAACAATTTTTTAGGAGTTTTTATGAACTCTGAAGTAAAAATTATACCATTAAAATATTGGTTCATTAGAGTTTCAGTGCATTATAAGTAGTAGACATTAGGTTTTCAAAAAAAAAAAGTAGTAGACATTAATTTGTCACATGTTAGCATGTTGCTATAAATGCTCCCTGACTAGGGGTGAGCATCGGTCGGTTACGGTTAATAACCGACCAATAACCGAATAACCAATCGTGTTTTTTTAACCTAAATAACCGACCGAACATAAACATATAACCGACCGAAACCGATCGGTTATTTCGGTAACTGAATAACCGAGGGTGGACTTCATAATTTTATACTTCATTGTCTTCGCAATAAATAGTTCATACTAAATTACTAATAATTAATAAATGGTTGTCTAACTTACAGTAAACTTCATATTCTTCACACTGTTCACATAACACATTAAATAAACAATTAGTATGAACTTCATAGTTTCATACTTCATAAAGTTCATTGTTCATACTTCATACTTTCATGGTCTTCAATGATTCAATCTTCATAATTCACATACACAAAATAGAAGTCATAGCCATACAACGATACTACCAATCTGCATATAACACATTTAATAAGGAAAAGAACCCAAAGTGATAACAAATTTCAAGTTTCCAAATTCCAACAACCAAGAGTTCATCAACTCCAATCCATGCTCAAGTCATCAACATGCTTCATTCTTCAATCTTCATTTATCAGCAAAAGATCAACATTTCAGATTTAAGACCTACTTACTTGGATCCAAAAGTTAATCAAAAGATCAACAACCAAGAGTTCATAAACTAACATTGAATAAACTAACATTACTACTTTAGTGTATAGTTAATAAACTGAAATACACTAACAGAGTAACAGTGAATAAACTAAAAACTTAAAACTTAAAACACAGTACAACACAGTTTATTTGGAGCTTGGAGACAAATAGAACTTATAACTTAATATAACACAGTAAGTCACTAACACACTTAAAACTTAATAGAACTTAAAACTTACAACACAGTAAGTCACTAACACACTTAAAACTTAAAAGCAGTAATTCATATGAATTTATTTTAATATAAAATTTAAAGTGAACAAATAGAATTATAGAAAATTAGAAATTACCTTGAATAGATTCTTGAAATTTTGGAGCCTGGAGACTTGGATTCTGGGGTCAGGAGAAACACTGCAAATTTTTAAAAGTAAACAACTGTGTGATTTTTGATTAACACTGCAAATTTTTAAAAGTAAACAACTGTGTGATTTTTTATTTTTATATAAATCAAATTATCAAAGTGAACAAATAATCAAATAGAAATTATAAAATTAGTATAACTTACCCTTGAGAGTTGGAACTTGGAAGAAGTGAAGAACCAAGAGTTTGAGATGGGTGAGGCGGTGAGGCTGAGCGGCGACCGGCGACTCGGCGAGGAGCGAGGGCGTGAGGCAGTGAGCGCTTGAGCGGCAACCGGCGAGAGGGCTGCGTGGAGAGGGTTGCGACTCCTGCAGTCCTTCCAGAGATTGAGAGACAGAGCGAGGCAGACAGGGCTGCGCGCCTGAGGCTGCGAGTTAGGATTCCGCTTTGAGAGATTGAGAGACAGAGAGGGTTTACTGGACCAGTAATACTAGTTGTCTGGTTGCCCTTTTGTATTATTAATTAATTAATTATAACTTAATAATTTATAATATATATTATATAATCTTTATTATTATTATTATTATTTTATATTTTATATTATTTTATTTTATTATTATCTTATCTTACTATATAAAAAAGCCACACACCTTGGAAACGACAATTAGACAAAAATTCCCGCTCAAACTAAAACTACGTCGTTTTTTGCAGTTAAATTTGTGAGAATTATGTCTTTCATTTCAGAATCTAATTTATGATTTAAAGTTTACTACATCTGTTTTTTCCATTTTCCAATATTGTTAACTGATAAGTCATTAATTAGTACAGCTGTTTATCATTTTCCAATGCTTAACTGATAAAGATATAAATATTTTCCATTTTCCATTGCTTAATACGGAGTAATTGACAAGTAATTTTAAATAAGTATCATTTACCAATGTTATTTACTTTTCCAAGTTACCATACAAGCAAGGATGCTAAACATAATGATAACATTTTTGAATCTAAACTCTGCTGAGAAATTGCCTATAAATACTGCATGTCTTGAGGTGAAATCTACATCTACATCGAAAGCACAAGGAGAGAAGAGAGAAAAAAAGATCAGGATGCTAGAGGTGATTACTCATTATTTCTCTTTATTATCATTTTTATATTTACCATAAGTGATATTTTGACAACTTTTTATTTGTGTTTCTAATTTGTTATGGGGAAAGAAGTGGACTGATAGAAACTAATAGGAACCCCCTTCTTTAAAGGTTTCAAAAGCATAGCTGCATAGATTATGTATTAATAGTACTGTTAGAAACACTTTTGAAGAGGGTTTCAAACTCCATTGAGACCTGAAATCATAGCAAAAAGTTGGTATATTAAGTTTATGGTCAGATTTAGAATCAAAAGCAAATCATTATATTTAACATTCATGAATAAAATTGAAAGGAACCACTACAATAAGAGGCAAGAGGAAAGCAAAATATCTATGTCAAGTATTGATTTTAGTTCTCTATAAAAACTATAAGATTGTATTGCACAATGTAAAACCGCAGTAGGCAAAGAAGGCAGCGAACCCCCAATTCAATGTAATATTATTGGATAAAAGAACTAGTGCTAACCACTTTAAGATTTAAAGTAACTTAATCAATATAATTACAAATTATATATATTGATACTCAATGTGAAAACTGGAAGTATAGCATTTTTAAAGATAAAGTTATATTAAACCTTGAGCTTAAATTTACAGAAAATAAATTTACATTTTCTTAGTGCCTCTTGGATGTTTGTTGTTTTTGTTCGATATTCCCCCACCTATTTTTCTTCATCATTGATAATATCTCCACACAGGTTATTCAAATATAAGATATTGACATTTATTTTAGAGAGAGGAGGATGGAGCTGCCAAGGCCGGAGATCAATAAACAGTTAAACAAACAACACACAAATGCAGATTTTGTAATATACAGGTATATATGCATATTCTGTATATAGATGAATTAAATCTATAAATTTTTAAGAAATTTTTTTTTTTTAATTTTGTATATTAAAAGAATACAATTTGGTCTATAAATTCAGAAAAATGTATAAAACTGGAGATTACCCTATTGCAAAATGGTTGATTTCAATAACTAATTTAAACATATAAGAAAAAATATTAATAGGAAAGAGATATTTTAAACCTGGTAAGAAGATTAAATACTTAGTCTGAACCTATAGGTGAGCAGGAGAACTGACGCCGAGTGTTGGAGATGCCGAGGGCGTAGAACCGGAGGATCCGAGGGTGAATAACCGGAATAGCCGTGGGCCGCGAACCGCAGTAGCCGAGGGTGAACTCGGGCGAACCAGAGCTGGAGTAGCCGATGCCGAACGAGAGCCGGAGGATCGCGGAATATCGGAGAACGGATAGTATAGGGTTGAGTTTTGTTTTTTTTTTTTTTTTTTTGTTTTTGGGCCGAATTTTGACATTATGAATAATAATTTTGATTTTGAGAGTTAAATAAATGGGCTGAATAATTGAGCTGATTATTACAATGTTTGTTAAATGAGTTGGGTTTGACTACATGTAATTATTCTTTTTATTTTTTTAATTTTGCATTTACATAATTTAATGATTTATATAATTATTCCATCTAATTTTTTTAGTTTTATATTTATACAAAATTATTGTTTTTTTTTATATTTATAATAATTTACAAACTTTGACGCATGTTTGACTTTAAAAAAAATGATATTTAACCATGATTAGTTATTATACATAAATATCTTTTGGGTTAGTAGTTCACTTCAACTTAAAATTTCAGTATGTTGTAATCTATTTGGATTATAAATATTAATATTTTTATATGGGTAATTTCTATAAATATTTTTATATTGTAAGTACATTTAATTTATTTGAATTATATTTTTCAGATCATGTATGCTATTGAATAAGACAATGTTTTATAATATATACTGGTAGTATGTTGTGATGTTCAATAATATTTATAAATAAACAATTTCATATTGCTAAAGAAAGAAATGCTTTTTATCAATAAATCCTGATAATAATTCTTTGATTTTATCATTTTAAATTGTTTTTAAGTCTTTTATTTTATGACGTGAACCACAATTTTATTATATATTTATTTTCACATGACTATCAATATTTACAGGTTCGTAATTTGATATTTTGCTAACATGGGTGTCATGTGATTTTTTAAGTAATGTTTTTCTTATTTAATAATTATATTAATATTAATTAATATCTGAACCTAATAAATTAGTTTATAAAGCTAAGGAAACGTATATGGAAAGTGATAAAGAGATTGTGATCGTTTTCTCTATCTTCATCCAACTTCATTGCAAATCATTGAATCCTAAAAAATGACGGAACTTCATTGAATCATAAGGAATGATGAAACTTCATTGCAAAGATTCTTGGTATTTTATAAGCACTATCCGTGCATCGCACGGGTGCAAATACTAGTTATTATATTAAAGCAAAATCCAAGGCCACAAAAATTTTCCACCAAAACAGTTTTATATTTTTTGTGAAGGTAAATCAAGCATATTATTTTTGTGAGCAATTATTGTTCTTTATCATTGCTATCCTCTCAGCCCCTCTCTCTCTCTCTCTCTATATATATATATATATATATATATATATATATATATATATATATATATATATATATATATATATATATATATATATAGGCTTCGAATCTGGTGCACCCCTCTAATAGATGAGACCATGAGGCCTTCTAATATCCATTGATTCAATTTTCATCAATGGTTGAGATTATAAGAGATTAGGGTAGTAATTAAGGACATTTTCCAATGTAAAGGATATATTAGTAATTGTAATTCTAATTTATTTATGGACATAATATTATTGGAATCTATAGCATTAAATTAGGGAGTTTATGGATGGAAATTAATACTTTGAATTACTACAAAGGCTGATGAAGTGAACTTGGCGTGAACAAGGCTTGAGGAGAAAACGAACGGGTAAGTGCATTTACGTGCCATCGTCTGTGCATACGCTGAATATTGGGGTTTTTTCCGCTGGGATGGTGGGAGGGGGGTGGGGGTTGGTGGACGAACTAGAATATCTGTTATGTGCGTAGCGTGTGTGTGTTCAGGTGGTTGCATACAGGTCTGTTTGTGAAACCGATAGGTTGACGGGAGGATGCATAAACAACAATGAGTGTATTTCGCCTGTGAAAAAAAAATCACAATCACAATCCTTATAATATGCAACCACTATATGCACAGGCCTTTTCTTATGTGTGATTTCTTATGGTTGGCTTGTTTTACAAGGAATATATTGTAAAAATTAATAGTTTTTTTTTTTTTTTTTTAACGGTGGTGTGTGCATTTGTATGATTTGCCGTTTGCACAATTTTGGAAAATGAACTTAGCATCATGTCATTTTTTTAGTTTTGTTTTTACACTAGTGTGTGCATTTTTATGTTGGCAATGGAACTTTGAATCATGTGGGCTATTGTACACGTCATAACACTCCAATGCACGCACCAAATACAAAAAACAAAAGCATATGAAGAAATAGGCATGTGCATATCGCCTGTACAAAAAACAAAAGCATATGAAGAAATAGGCATGTGCATATGAAGAAATAGGCCTGTGCATTTACATGTCCGCGTCTGTGCATATACTGAAGAATGGGGATTTTTTCCCGGTGGGGGTGGGAGGGGGGGTGTGGTTGTTGGACGAAGTAGTAGTCCATTGACGCGCGTAGCGTGTTCGTGTTCAGGTGGGTGCGTACATGGTTATTTGTTTGACCGATAGGATGGCGGGATGATGCGTAGACAGCAAATAGTATGTGCGTAGAATGTTATAATGTTGAATTTATGGTTTGGTCAAATTTTTTTAAAGAACTGGAACAGTGTGGGAGGGTAAGCACGGTGAGTATAACTAATATCACTGTATTGATGAAAGTTACAATGTAAAGTGCGTATGAGGATATAGGCCTGTGCATATCGCCTATATAGCTCTTAGGGAAAATTGGCATTGTTTATGTACCGAAAGCGTATTACGCACAATCTATATACACACACGCACAGACCGGAAATGCACACTAACACGCGCCAGCTACTGTGTTCCCCTAACACATAATACACATATTGCACTTTTAACTATACTTGTTATTTGGATATTCCCCTAAAATAAAGCATGTTGAATCAATTTCTTACAAACATATTTTCTAATGGTGATATCCACGCCCAAGCTTACGGTTGGATATATATTTCACAATGCCACACACCCTACACAGTTTTAAGAACAATTACATCTGGTTATGATAAAGACAAATAAACAATTGACATAAAAATTTTAAAAATAAAATAAAAACTTTATAAACTTATAATTATCATCAAATAAAACAAGCATATTTCCTTCGTAAATTCATCATGAAAACAATATAAATATTTAAAAGAGCCCACTCCTAGCAAAAGTTGAAGCATGAATGAATTTTCTACAGCAACAGACCTGAGGGAAAACACCATTTGTTTGGCAGCCACTTCCATACATTGAGACACACAATTTTATTTCCATTTTTTACCGCAAACTTCTCATATTCTGTAGCTGTTGTGGTTCCAGTTTCACTGTGGCAAGATTTCGCAATTGCTGTGGCGTTTGATCATTGATGACCTGCGGCTACAGTTTAACAGGTGCAACACTTCCTAATCCACGCCGCCCCCTCCACCCCCCGGAATCATCAAGAACCCTAAAACTACCGAACACCACCTGCGCAACCACTCCCGAACATATACCCAATCTCCACCCACAAAACCAAGCCCAGCAATGGAACACCAAACCCTCGTTTCGCCAAGCCAATACCCACCCCTTCGAACAACAATAAAAGATAGAAAAATAAGAAGCAAACAATGGAAAACGACATACCTCGACCACCACCAGGAAGAACTACTTTTCCAACGTTTTGTCCGCCTGATGTAGGAGCGAGCCATGGAGAACCCCGGTACAACAACCAACGACTCGAAGGGTTTGACGGTGTTGGGATAGCCGATGAAGCCACTAGAATGCGAGAATATTGTCGTTGGAAGAAGCAAAGAATCTCAAACGCACAAGGAAATAAACACAATATCACGATTTCATAAGGAAAGAAATTAATGGGTGTGTAAAATTACTCCAATACCCCTAAATATATTACAGATCAGCTAAAAGAATATAAAATAGCCAATAAATCTGAATCATTAAAATAAAGAAAAGGATGTACAGGATCGATTATCACGAACTCACCTGACTAGGGGGTGTGCACCGGATTCAAAATCTATATATATATATAGTGCTATAAATCTGAACCCTATAAATAAGTCCTATGGAGAAAATTGTTGGAGCTGCCGTGGAACTGCATATGGAATTTTGGGACCGCGACCGCATTCACAAGAGGAAGACAGTTGGTTGAAGAATAAGGTGCGTTGATGTAACATAAAAAATTATGTAAATCCAATTTCATATAGAGTCTGTGAGTTGTGAGTTCTGCAGTTGTATGTGAAAAAATAAACCACCATGGGCAAGAGAAAGAAGCCAAAAGTACAATTAAATAATTAGGAGTATTTGTTTTTTAGTTTTTTCTAATGATTTTGAGCATGTTTAATATATGTGAATAACGGACTTCAAAACATTTTCAATGTGAATAAAAATCTCAAAAGTGAAATACAAACAATTAAACTTTAGTATGTTCATAAACATTTTTTTTTGAAACCCGTAACGTTAAATATTAGTATGTTCATAAACATTAAATATTATTGTGCCCTTATTTTATATATACATACATATATATATATATATATATATATATATATATATATATATATATATATATATATATATATATATATATATATATATATATATTAAAAAATAATATGAGCAAAAAACTCCCGCCCAACAGCAACAGCGTCGTTTTGACAAAGCCGAAATATTTATGGTATTTGCGTCGGAAAACGAAGGGTTTATGCAGTGTAATACCTAAAGTTTATAAAAAACCTACATTTTTTAAAATATCTACGGTAGATCACTCTCCAATCCAATGGGATTAGAGAATGTATTTAATTCCATCAGTTCCCCATATGGAACATTGAGCCCACGAAGCCATACATATTCTCTAGGTATTAATTTCGAAGGAAAAAGTACGAAAGGTCATCAGACCTTATATATACAACACATATATAACACAAAGTTATTGCACAGAAAAAATCTACACCGGCCTCTCTCCTTCTTCTTCCCTACAACAAGATGTTTATCCTTGCTAGCCAAATATCTCCAATGAACACCAGGCAGGCTCTTAAGCTATGGGTGGTGAGAGCATATCAGATTCCTGAGAGAAGTGGTCCATCTAAGATTAGATCAAAAGAAATAGTTTTTCATGATGAAGAGGTAAGTGCTATTTACAAATATATATTCAAATACATCAACAGTATGCAGTGCAGTTTAGGGTTTAGTCCACAGGTTTTTTTTTTTTTTTTTTTTTTTTATAGTTCCTATTTATGAGATATATTTAGAAAGCTCCTATTTATGTTATTTACACATACACAGGGTTCCTTCCTGCATGCTCATGTACCCAAAGAATATGTGGAAAAGTACCTAAGCTATTTTTCTGAAGGTTCAGTTTACGCTATAAAGAATTTTTGTGTGATCACCAATTTTTACTCATACAAGACCAGCCCACAGAAGTACATGATAAAATTCAATTATCAGACTATGGTAAAGGATTTAAAGAATGCGAAATTTCCTATGAAAATGTATCGTCTGAATTCGTTTAAAGAGATCAAGTCTAATGAAGGCCTTGATGAGAAACACCTCTTTGGTAATCAATTGCTCTCTTTCAATTTAATTTTCTAAATAATTGATATTGTTACTATTATTTTATACTCTAATGGACTATTTTGTAGATGTGATTGGTCGAGTTATTGAGATTCACTGCCCACAGGAGAAATTGATTAATGGGAAAAACTCCAGGCTGATTGACTTCACCATTGAAGACACTGAGTATTTTTTTTTTCTGTTCATTCTATTTCTATTCTATTTTTAGATTTTCTGTTCTTCTAATCTCTTATCTAACATTTTGCAGTGGTATACAATTGATGTGTACTTTGTGGGATGAACACGTAAGCCAGATCGATGCATTCTACAATTCTACTTCACAAGAGCCATTATTGGTGTTGATCCAATTTTGTAGGGCTAGGGTGTGTTTAAAAAGTAAGTAGAAAAAAAATGTTAGTTTCTGCCTAACTTATATTAGTATTTGTCCATATTTACCAATAATGGTTTGTCTAATGTGTACTACCATAATTTCTAAAAGTGGGGATGTTAAGATTTGTAGCTCCTATGATGTAACACAACTGCTGTTCAATCAGGAATCTCCACCATTTGAGGAGTTCAGAAAAAGGTTAGTCAATGCTTATTCTTGCACTACTTATTCAATTGGTCCCTAATTTTTAGTGTATTTTTAATTTCACAGTATCAGCCATGAACAGACTCCAATGCGCAGTATTATTTCGCAATCAAGTTTTAAGGAATGTAGCTCCTATTCAGTTTCCCTATCTGGTGATATGGAAGTCCGTACTATCAGTAAAATATACAGAGACAAGGAGGTAATCTCTATATTTAAAACCTATTAGTTGTTACCTTAGTCGATATACTATGATCTCTACAGCAATAATCTGGTGAGATATCAATGCCAACTGCTTGATTTGTAATCTGCATTTAATAATATGCATGAGATTTGAAACAAATATAATATTTGGTTAATTGACTAATACTGTGAATTATACAATTGGATACTTACCTGATTGAGGAAATAAATAGTCTTTAAATATATAGACTAATACTGTGCAGGCCATGTTATGTAGGCATATCAAACCTGCACAATGAGAGTCAATATAGAACTTAGCATCCCATTAATACTCATTAAAACTTAATACAGTAACAAATTAGAGAGAGTGTTAGTGGTTGCTTAACTCATTGTGAAATTGGTGTGAGAATGATTATGCAACTCATAGTCTGTATGTGACCCCAACCTGCACAAAGTAGAGAATAATCATTTGAATGATTTTCATTGGATCATTACCTATTTAATTAAATATATATGTACTCACTCTATATAGTTGACCATTGTTATATGTTTTTTCCACACATGCTCTGTATTCATCTCAAATATGGACAGTGAGTGCCAACCTGACCACTCTTTGAATCTGCACATTTAATATTTGGCATTAGATACAAATATAATAGCACAGAACATAGCAGTCTCTATATAAATCATTCAAAGTTATTAGTTTAACAAATTAGATAGTCTATTAGGGTGTGCTTATCTCAGTGAGTAAATTGGATGAACACATCCTAGGACAGTTTTGTTGTTATTATTATCCAAACCATACTCTGTGTTTGACCCAAACATGCACACATAAATTAAGTTTTGTTAGTTATATAACCATAGTATTTTTTATTTTCTGTTAGCAAAAATAGATCAACTGATACATAGTATGCATCTCCAACCTTCACAAACCCTAAATCCTAAACCCTAAACGCTAAACCATAATGTACCTTGATAATTCTGTAAATTTATACTCAAACATGATTGGATTGGGGCTCATAATGTACCTTGCTAATTATGGTTTTTTTGTGTGTGTGCAGTTTGGAGATTTTTGGGTGGCAGCAAGGATTGTGTTCATTGATGATCCTGAGTGGTACTATGCTTCGTGTAGAACAAAGGGTTGCAACAAAAAGCTGAAAATGAAAGGTAAGTGGCTATGGTGTAGTACATGTGACAGGAATTGGGGCGATGGAACTTTGAGGTACAGGGTTAAAGTTAGGGTTGTGGACTTGGATGGGAATGCTCATTTCCTTCTATGGGACAGGGAGTGCCTTGATCTACTTGGTGTTACCGTAGATGATTTGAATTCTACCCATACTAAGGTACTAAATGGTGTTTAATATACCAATTGTTAACTAATATACCAATTGTAGAAATTTCCTATGTACACAAACTTAAAAAAAAAATGAATTACGTGCAGGGCCGAAAGGGGCTACCTAAGGAGCTTGAGAATCTGATTAGATTGAATTTGCTCTTTCGAATTGCTGTTCGCAAAAAACAATTCCAAAACTACCTTAATGCTTTCCTTGTTATGAGGATCATCACTGATGAAAAGATTGTAGAAAAGCATGCACCAGAGCTAATTGGAGTTAGGGACCGGGACCTCAGTTCAAAATTGGAGTTGGAGCTTACAGAAGATGATCTATGGGATCTAGAGGTATAATTGGGGCTACTGAGTATCCTATTATACTAATTACTTTATAAATGCAAATTATTTAGTACTTACAGTTTCAAATCTCTATTTTGTAGGAAAATGAGCAAGTAAATGAAGCTGAAAGTCCTCTACAAGTTGTTGCACAGAGGCTGAATGCAGAGAACACCATTGAGAATGGAACAGTCAAGAGATCCCTGATTGATGAATTTTCCAGCACACAAAGTTCTAAAAAAAAAAGCAAGGAAGCTGTGGTCGAAATTGAGAAATAATGAATATGTGTAATGAGTAGAATGACTGGGATGTGCTCTATTGAACTCTTTTTTTTTTTTTTTTTTATGAATGCTTTAGTGAGGACACACTTGCGGTGGTCCTAGAACAGTTTGACCTAACATTTGGAGACTCATGATGGTTTTAATTGGTTTCAGTTGGTTTATAACTCATGTTATTAGTAAGGAAAATGTTTTATCCCTTCTTCAAAATGTTTTTTTTTTGTTTGTAGGTACTAAAGAAGACAGTGATTCCTGCTAAAAAGCAGAAGAGGATGAACATCACATGATGGAAAAAGACAATGCAGATAGTATATATTGGCATACGTATATATTTTCAATTGTAATTTGTTAATGTAAAAGATTAGTTGGAAGATTAATGTAATTTTTTTTTTAGCATACAGATTAATTTTGTAGATTACATTTTTAATTTAAGTTAAGTTATACAGTGCCTCAAGATCAATGTAAGATAAATCTTAGTGATTACTTATAATTTTACCTGTTCTATTCTTAACAATGTAAAGATTGTAAATATGAACTCCTTTTTTTTTTTAATCTAATCCTAAAAGCACTTATCCATCACTTCTATTAAGATTACATGCTATCAATAACTATATACACTGATTACTAAACTATATATACAAAGAGTACAAAACTTAATTATTTAGTAAAAGAGATATCTCACCATGTCTATTGGTTACTGTCACTCGCTTCTCCATTTTGGTAATCACCAAAAGCAAAGAATGTTGGTATCCAATTTTGAGCACACTGAATAGATGTAAACAGGATATTAACATTGTACTTAATATAAGTTAACAAAAATACTATGAAACTAACTTATACATTATAGGTGCTTGCAGAATAGAATGTGTTCTTAAACATCAAGTTTCAAATGTAAATAATCGCATAACTTCATAGTTTTCAATGTATTAGGATTCAAACAGAACGGTTAACGTCTTTGTTACTACTAAAAACTGTTTTAAGTTTGATAAAGTAAGACACACTTCATTCTACTTTAGAATGGAGTCAAAAACACCATTGTGAGTAAAACTGTAATATAACTTCATCATAGAGGTATTTCAATAAGCCTAACATAACCAAAAAAAAAAAAAAAATCACGTGTTGATCTGCTTAATATTTTCAGTAAACTTGAACTTATAAAGCTGATAATACTAATACTTTAATAAAGTAAAGAGACAAATTGAATTCAGGTGAGTTCAGCAAGCATAGTATAATGCAGATCAAAATATACCTCAGAAATATTATATATAGTACATGAGTATTGAACACACGTGTACTTAAATATAGTGATAGCTAATTATGGAATTAAAACTTATCTTTTATAATGCAAGTACAACTGAATTTGACAACGTGCATTATAAGATGTCATTATGGCCACAGACATGTTGACAACAATTTGCAATATAAACTCTCTTCAAAATCCTTTGAACCATCATAGATTAGGTAGCAGCTTGCTTGCATTTTAGTCAACAATTATTAAATTAAGATACAACTGGCATTCATATGGTGTAAAACTATAATCACGGGATTAGAATGTACATGATCAGGGACTTAGTGCTGATTAGGCACTTACCATGTGTTGACACCAACTTTGTATCTCTGAAGCCTCCTCAAATGCCTTAAGATGAACTTTCTAATTGGTCATACAGATTCCACAAGATAATTATCTGGATCAAGGGAGTATAAAAAAAATATAACTTAGAAACAATGTAATAATATTATTCTGGGTAACTAACAATGTATATCAAAGTAGATTCTAAACTATTGTGTAGGCTTAAAACCTATCTTTGAGCCTTGCTAAGCAACTGTAAGTACCAAACTGAATAACATTGGTACTTACTTAGTGAAAACATGTCACCACATGTTCACAATCACAGCTCTTTTCATAATCAAGCTACCTGAAAAACAACATAGTAGCTTAATCAGGTATCTTATTATATTTCAGAATAATTTTATTAATCAATAAAATTATGAGAAGGAAAGAGTAATAATATGCAACTAGCACGTATATTGATATCACTATGCATTAAGTAGCACAACTAAAACTTTTAGTATTCCAACTTGATTTATATTGACCAGTTTCCAATGTTGTCTACCAACCTTGGATGTGAATGCTCTACTACTATATAATAATCAACACAGAGATATTCTTATTCTCTCTGAATCACCACCTAAACAAAACTGCAATTTAGCCAATTCATTTCCAAACGAACACATGAAGAAAATTACAACTTCAACCACGATTGGTGCAAAGCGGAAGCAGAACAGCAACAACCAAGGTAATACTATATACTCTTATCCTTAATTATAATATCCTATGTTAGATTATAGCCCTAAATACTATCTCAAAGCATATAAACTATGTGCATGTGTTCTTGCCCCAAATACTATCTCAAACGCTATAAACTATATAAAGTCCAGTATATATGTGTTGTGATAAACAAATTTCAGTATACACGAAGATGATTTCTAAAAATTATTTCTAGAAGCTGTCGTTTTAGATAGATATATATACACCATACTTAGATCTGAAAATGTAGAAGAGATAGGGTTAGAAATCCTTACCCAACTTGGTATAAATTCTAGAAATCGTGTAGGAGAACACCCATTTCTGCCTTGGTCCATCGTTGAGCATCGGACACATCTACACGGTGGTCCTAAATCGTGTAGGAGAACACCCATTTCTACCTTGGTCCATCGTTGAGCATCGGACACATCTATTACCACCAAGCTTCGATCTACCTAAACCCATGACAGACGGCTGTATATAGTGTTCATATATAGGACGATAGACCGTTGATAACTCCGAATCGGGGTTTTGACTATGGAGTTAACACTCAGATTGGGAGTATTGTTGAGACGTATGCGTCAACAGATACTTCACAGTAAGATCATCTTCATCGCGAATCCATAGTATAGAGGGGTCGAGAATGCCAAATCCAACCCTAACCGGAGTAATGAACTCCATTTTTGTGAGAGAACCCACAGTGGGATGAGTGGAATGAGCTTAGAAAAGAGCCTGCTAGGTGTATAGGAAAGGGAAGGACAGCTGTGAACATCACCCAAGCAAGCCAGCTGTGAACATCACCGCAATTCTAATTATTATTATTATTATTATTATTATTATTATTATTATTATTATTATTATTGATATTAAAATACATGTATTATTATTTCGGGAGTGATATTATGTTTTCATAAGATTGTTTAAATCGTGCATCGCATAAATACGATTATTATTTAGTCATAATAACAATCACCGCATCGCTGTGCGCATAAATATTATTATTATTACGTAATCACTAAGTTTAATTGTTTATGTATTACAACTTCATGTACTCAATTGTTTATTATAATTGTTGGTAATTAATATTAATTTTAATTATTATTCTAGGGTTAGCTACGAGCGGTATATTATCAGTATCCTATTTTTTATTATTTTATAATAATACCAATCATTATTATTTCTATCATAATGCAGATAGATGTTATTATTAAGCTTATGAAAGTAATATTATTAACGTTCTACTAAAAAATTATATTAAGCTATGACTAAATAATAAATTATTAGCAATACTTTAACATTATAATTATATTATTCTGTTTCAATATTGACCTACTCTGATTGATTAATTAAAGTAGATTTTTGTATGAGTAATAAAAATGGGTACACCAAATAATATGTGTAGTGATAACATTATTTTTTTGGTACAGATAATGAAGATATCACTGTCAATGGTGAAGCGTACATGCCGTCCTTCCAATCTAACAAGAATACAAAAATGGGTACACCGCTAATTGGTGTTTTCCAAAGTTCGCTAAGTACGCCTTTAAGTATTCTTACAAATGGTAAGTGTTTTCATTTGGAACAATTCACTACGTAATGAATCGTTGTTAATATTAGTTGTCATTGCAATCGACAGGTGACACTGCGGTTCGAACGACAATACGGACTACCCCAATGCAAGATTTTGGTAGCATAATGCCATTAAGCAACATATCAAATAGTAATTAGCTCAACCAATATTACAATTAATTTTTTAATTAAATTCTCTAACAATCAAATTGGACAATTATTATTCTAACGTGTGTTTTTTACGCCTGCTCTATAATTAAAGTAAATTTAACTCGAGCGACCGGGGACCGTGATAAATCACTGCTAACCAAGCGCCATAATCATTCGTTTGACTTAAATAAATCACCAGTCTCGCAAGGTAATAAAGTTGAAATTGAGTAAATAATCTATACTCATCTGGGTTAACTGCTAATTCATTATAATTTTTGCTACCTTAACTCCCAGCTTCTTCTCCTGGACGAACGCCAATACAGACTACGTCAACGCAAGTTTTTAGTAGCAGAATGCCATTTAGCAATATAACAAATAGTAATAATCTCAACCAGTATATTGTAATAATATTAATATAAATTTATTGTGTAGTCAAATGGAATACTTAATAGTCTAACAAGTTGTTTTACAATTTCTTTTTAATTAAAGCAAAATGCGGAACAGTTAATGGGGAACGCGACATACCAACTACATCCAACTGTCAGAATCGTTTCTTCGACTTAAATCGAACACCAGATTCGCAACTAGGTATCAATATATTACGAGGAGGCGTTTCTTATTGCATAGTCATTATTAAATTATAATGTAATATATTCTATAATCGTTTCTGTAGGACTTGAAAGTAATTGTTGTATTACAAATGACAACAACATGCAAATTGTCGTGGTAGAGCCGGAGACTGAACCCATCAAGCATTGTCGAAATTTGATATCAGATTTTCAAGAAGTTGTTGAACAATTGCATGACAATGTGCCCTCAAAAAATGGTAAGTTCATATTAAATGTTGTCCAACGAATACGTACTATCTTTGGACTACAATGAACTATATTATTTTGTTACATATGAACTAATATCAATGTATTTTTTTTTAGACTATTATTTTGATTGTGGTGATCCCGAGTATGTTTGCGAGCATTGTAATGCATTTTTTTGGTACAATGAACGGGCAAGCAATTCAAGGTCATGTGACAGGCCTAAATACTCCGCATGTTGTGTGAATGGTAAGATAAAGTTGCCATTGATGACAACGCCTCCTCAAAAGTTGTTTGATCTATTCTTTACATCAAGTGATAAAAACAAATGTTTTTTGAAGAATATAAGGTCCTATAACAACATGTTTTGCTTCACGTCAATGGGTGGGAAAATTGATAGAACTATTAACAACGGAACATCGCCTCCTATATTCCGTATAAATGATCAAAATTTCCATCGCATTGGAAGTTTATTGCCTGCACTTGGCACTCAACCTAAATTTGCACAATTATACATTCACGATACAGAGAATGAGATACAAAATCGCTCTAACTCTTTCAGGTATAATATTCTGTGTTAGTAAACTCTTTTGTGCCTCTCATTGGTTAATACTGGAAATCTTATATTATATATTTTCATTTTTTAGGACGGAAAGCAACAGTTCTACAGTGCATCTTGATGTAGTTCATGACATTAAGCAAGACCTAGATGAGCACAATGTTTTGGTTAAGTCATTCCGAATGGCCAAGTCATTTATGGAATCTAATCCTACAAGTGAAATTAGAATGAGATTAATAGGGAAGAGGTCTAAAGATGCCAAAACGTATGCGCTACCAACTACTTCAGAGGTTGCCGCTCTCATTGTTGGAGATTTAGACCCTTGCATGGGTGAACGTGATATTGTGGTCGAGTCTAGATCTGGAATGCTTAAACGAATAGTGAATTAAACCCAGCATATCTACCATTGCAATACCCAATTTTATTTCCATATGGAGAGGATGGTTTTAGGGAAGATATACATTTTGCAACACATAGTAATAAACAAAATTTTGCAAGAAAAGAGTGTTTCACAAAGAGAGTACTTCGCCTTCCGTATTCACGAAAAATCAAATGAGATCTCAACTATAATGTACACTAAAAGGTTATTCCAACAATTTTTGGTTGATGCGTGTACTATGGTTGAATCTTCGAGATTGCTATATATTAGGTCAAATCAAAAAGCTTTGAGATGTGAGGCGTACAAAGGTCTTTCTGATGCGTTAACACGAGGTGAAGTGCAACCTAGCTCTCAAGGTAAAAGAATAATATTACCTTCAAGTTTCACGGGAGGAGCAAGATACATGATACAGAACTACCGAGACGCCATGGCAATTTGCAGATTTATAGGTTATCCAAACCTGTTTATTACTTTTACATGTAATCCTAAATGGCCGGAGATTCAGCGCTTTTTGGAGAAAAGAAATTTGAAAGCTGAAGATCGTCCGGACATTGTTTGCCAAGTTTTCAAGATGAAGCTAGATTGCTTAATAAAAGAAATAAAAAATGAGAAACTGTTTGGTGCTGTAAGGGCAGGTGCGCTCCGCATTTTCTTATAAAATCATTTTTTAAAACAGTACTTAATCATACGAATCTTAGAACTCACATCATGTAATTGTTTTTGCAACAGTTATATACACAATTGAGTTTCAGAAACGGGGTCTTCCACATGCTCACATATTACTGTTCCTACAAGGGACGAGCTGCTTTGCCAATCCTGCTTTTATGGACACGATCATTTCGGCCGAGATCCCAGACAAGTTGATGGACATCGAGTATTACAAAGCGGTCGAAGAATTCATGTTGCACGGCCCGTGTGGTGTTGCCAGGAGTAATTCACCGTGCATGGTAAATGGCAAGTGCTCGAAGCATTTTCCAAAGAGATATATTGATGCATCCCATTTTGACCAGGATGGTTACCCGTTGTATCGAAGAAGGGATGATAAGAGGACAATAAAAAAAATGGAATAGAGTTGCACAATAGGTATGTTGTACCACATAATCGGTACTTGCTCTTGAAATACAAAGCACACATTAATGTAGAGTGGTGTAACCAATCTAGGTCAATCAAGTACTTATTCAAGTATGTCAACAAGGGTAATGACCGTGTAACGGCTGAGTTTTATAAGACTACAATGGATGAAGCTGGTAATGAGACGGTGGATGAAATAAACATGTACTATGACTGCAGGTACATCTCTGCATGCGAGGCAGCCTGGAGGTTGTTTAGTTTTGAAGTTCAGTACAGAACTCCACCGGTTGAGCGACTAAGCTTTCACTTGCCTGACTGCCAATCAGTTCTGTTCCAAGACGATGATACCATTGATCATGTCCTGAATAGAGAAACCGTTGGGCAAAGTATGTTTAACGCATGGTTTGTAGCCAACCAGAAGTTTAAAGAAGCGAGCTTATTAACTTACATTGAGATGCCTACCAAATTTGTGTTGAAAAAAGACATCCGTGAATGGCATCCAAGAAAGAAGGGTTTCTCAATTGATCGGATATTCTATGTACCACCAGCTTCAGGAAAAATTTATTATTTAAGGTGTCTATTGAACATATTCCGTGGTCCAAAAGGCTTCCAAGATATTAGGACAGTTAATGGTGTTGAGTACTTGACCTTTAGAGATGCATGTTATGCTCATGGATTGTTAGACGATGATAAAGAATACATTGATGCTATAAATGAAGCAAGCTACTGGTCAACTGCATATTCATTAAGAAAGCTATTTGTTGTCTTACTAACATCCTCATCAATTATTAGGCCCGAAAATGTTTGGAATCAAGTGTGGCAACATTTGTCTGAAGATGCTCAACACTATCAAAGAAGAATATTAAAATAACCAGGTAATGTACTTTTTTTATACAATAAAATCAATTAAGTTATATGGATAACTATCTGACTGTTGGCATCGTAACAGATTTGGTCTTAACAGAGGAAGAGAAAAAGAACTTTGCATTGTTCGAATTGGAAAACCTATTGGGGCAACAAAATAAATCTTTAAAAGACTATCCTCCGATGCCAATACCAAGTACAGATAATTCAAGGTTGTTTCAGAATAGGTTGGTTTTTGAAGAGTTATGTTACAATCGTGAGCAGTTGAAAGAAGATGCTGAAGTGCTGTGTGCAAAACTAACTGAAGAACAGAGTCTCATCTATGATACGGTTATACAAGACATTGAAGACGGTAAAGGTGGCTTATTTTTTGTTTATGGTTACGGTGGAACAGGAAAGACTTTCTTGTGGAGAGCGTTGTCAGCTGCAATCCGATGCAAAGGTAAGATCGTTTTAAATGTGGCATCAAGTGGCATAGCTTCTCTATTGTTACCAGGTGGCCGTACTGCTCACTCAAGATTTGCAATACCTATTGCAATAAATGAAGACTCAACCTGTAACATTAAGCAAGGTAGCGACCTGGCCGAATTGTTGATAAAGACGAGTTTGATAATATGGGATGAAGCTCCAATGATGCACAAACATTGTTTTGAAGCATTAGATCGAACTAAGGGATTTGTTGCGTTTTGTAGACCCGTGTAGTGAAATGAAGACGTTTGGTGGTAAAACAGTTGTTTTGGGTGGAGATTTCCGCCAAATTCTCCCGGTAGTTCCAAAAGGTACACGGCAAGATATTGTTTCTTCAGCCATAAATTCATCATATCTATGGGATAGTTGCAAAGTTTTAAGGTTGACTCAAAACCTAAGACTAAGTTCGGTACCCAACGGTGGAAACCGGCAGGCATTACAAGAATTTGCCGATTGGATTGCTAATGTCGGTGATGGAAAGCTGGGTGGGCGGAATGATGGTTTCGCAGAGGTTGAAATTCCAAAACACATGTTATTGTCATCCGGAGGGGACGATATTAAAACAATTGTGCACAGTACATTTCCTATGTTTGCAAATGGAAACACTGACCCCGAGCATCTGCTAGGTCGTGCTATATTAGCACCAACGCTCGATGTGGTCAACGCAGTCAATGACTATATGACTGAGTTGCATAATGCCGAAAGCATGTCGTACTATAGTTCAGACGCATTATGCAAAGCCGATGGCGACAACGGTATATTTGGAGATATACACACACCGGAATTTCTAAACAGCATTAGGGTTTCAGGTCTACCAAATCATACATTGACTTTGAAAATAGGTTCACCGCTTATGTTAATGAGAAACATTGACCATTCTCTTGGTTTGTGCAATGGGACTCGGTTGATAATCACAAAGCTAGCAGACCATGTTATTGAAGGCGAGATCCTGACTGGACCTAACAAAGGTACAAAAGTGTTGATCCCCCGAATGTCAATGTCACCCTCTGATCCAAGATTGCCGTTCAAGTTTCAACGAAGGCAATTTCCAATTATGCTTTCATATGCAATGACCATTAACAAAAGTCAAGGACAAACGTTGACTCATGTTGGTTTAATACTAAAGAAACCGGTTTTTGTACACGGTCAGTTGTACGTGGCTGCATCTCGGGTTAACAATCCAGACGGTCTCAAAATATTGATAGTCAAAGACCCAAGTTCAACTACTACATCAACCACTAATGTTGTATATCATGAAGTTTTCAATAATTTGTAATTTTGTAAAGTTCTCTTTTCTTAGTTCCATGACCTTGCAACTATTTGTAATATACCATTTTCATATGGTTTTTGTTGAATTCACAATCATATTTCATTTATATGTTATAAGTTTTAACCGCATTAGTTCAAACAATTTGTAACATAACATACACACAATTAATACTTTTTAATTTACATACCGTGCAGCGCACGGGTCAAATACTAGTGTATATATATATATATCCGGATTAATAAATATTTAAATCCTATATTTTCCTTTAACAAATTATAGAATTAAATTTTGCAAAAATTATTCTGTAAACGGACAAAGTCAGGGAAAACCTCTGAAATTATTTCAATATTGAACATTGGACATATAAGAGTTCCGAATAGAATTTCTTTAGAAAGAAGATCTTTGGGTTAATCAAATATTTTGAAAGTAATATATTCAATTGTAATTTTGTATATTCGAATGTGTTAATAAATTTGAAAAAATATATGAAATGGGAAATTACCCTATAGCAAAATAGTTTATTTAGAGAACCAATTTGCACATAAAAAAAAAAAAAAAAAAAAAAAAAAAAAAAAAAAAAAAAAGAGGATAGAAATTGAAGAACCGGTGGAGCCAAGGGCGAGGAGCTAGAAGGTCTGAGTCCGAAGAACCGGAGGATTGTGTGCGAAGAACCGGAAGTGGCGAATGCCGAGAGACGAAGGGGCATAGAACTGAAACCTCAAATTTAACGATCTATCATGTCAAAGACATAACTTGGTTTGCCTATAAAAACAAACACATGGACAACAATATCGATAAAAGAAAATAGGTGAAATTTCTATATTCATGTTAAGCTTATAATTTAGAAGGGAAAATGACACTTTTTCCCCCTGAGTTATATACCTATAGCATTTTTCCCCCTTGAATTATTGAAGTGGCTATTTTTCCCCATGAAATGTTAAATGGAGATATTTACCCTTAAAATAAATAATTCATTTATTTTTTTTTCTCCAACAAATTATGACATAATTTGGTTCAAACCAAACAAACACTATAGCAACCAAACCGAAATATTCCAATTACAATTTTGAATCAAAACCCGATATTTAGAGTTTATTAAAATCGTGAACCGGAACGGACTGTTCATGTTCCAAACTGAAAAAATAAAATACATTTATTGTTGAATTTAGACTATTTTAAAATAAAAATAAAATTTTAAAATAAAGACCGTTCAAAATCGCGAACCGAATCCGGAACCGCCGGTTTACGGTTCAAGATTCAAATTTTTTATACATAATTTTAATAAATTGACATCTAAATATTGGGTTTTAGATCTAAATCATAACCGGGATACTTTTAATTCGATTGCTTTAGTGTTCGATTCAGTTCAAACCGAACCGTGGTCATCCCTACGTGTACGCAATAATTTGTTGGAGAAGTAAAATAAATAAAATGTTTACTTTAAGGATAGAAATGTCAATTTAATATATCATGGGGAAAAAGCACCACTTTTAGAATAATTTTAGGGGCTAATGTGCTTACCTAAATAATTGAGGGGAAAAAAGTGCTATAAGTATATAACTCAGGGAGAAAAAGTGTCATTTTCCCAATTTAGAATTATTCTTGATGGACATATTAGAAACCTTATAGTTTAGAATTATTCTTGATGGACATATTAGAAATGGGACGAATCCTCTCGGTCCAAAAAAAAATAATAATAATAAAATTGAATAGTTACACATTATAATAGTCAACAAATTTTTGTGTTGCATATAAGTCCCATTAATCGCAGTATAATTAAACACATCATGCATGATTGCATCATAGTGAGGTAAAACAAACAGAAAACAAAAACAAAGAATCTTTATATACTAGAAGCCAATAGTTCTGAGAAAAGAGAGCAACAACATTGAACTGTTTTAGAACTCCCAAACCAAGAAAGCTTTTCAGAAACAATGAGAGAGAGGTTTCTAAGAAGACAGTCCAAGAATGCTTATTAATCCATTGACATTCAAAAGGAAACCAAAATGCCAAATTTCAGAAGAAGATGAGCATTGTCTAAATCCACATCAAGTTAAAGTGGCCCTGGGAAAGTCCCATTCTCCCTCTGTTCATTCCATTTTTCAACCTGAAAAGAACCAATTGGACGTAGGATTAAAATATAACACGTGCAGAAGATGGACAAGAAGAAACCAGCAGAACATGGTGAAATGGGGAAAGAGGAAACAGATAAAGCACACCAGAGAAAGAATGAGGTTAGGCTCCCCCATCTCACATTTTTGAAGAAGGAACACCCCCACAACTTACCACACCAGTAGATAATTAGGTTATGGATTCAACCATAAATCTTCCTATCAAATACACCACACAACGGGGAGCATTTTAGACCTACTCTGACCTTTAAGCCTTTTTTTTTTCTTCTATATAAGCATTTTTTTCTTTGTTAAATCTAGAAATGCCCTTTGTATACAAGCATTAAGAAATTCTCTCTTTCAGTAAGAGAATGATTTGTGATAAATATTTTGGAAAAGTAACTAAATAATTCTCTTGTAAATTGTAATACTTCCCAATGCTTCAATTAATCTCTTAGCTATAATTTAATTTACTTAAACATGTATAGACACATAATTTATTATCAAAACCAAAGCACTTAAATTGATAAGTTTTCACTTACCCATTCACCTGGGCAAAGTGCCCGATAGTACCTAGCGAATTTCTCACAGTCACCAGAATCCTCACCTTTAGCACCCACGCACCTGAAGTATACAAATGGAAAAACAAGTCAGACCCAGCATTGTAAACCTGCCGCTTGCTGCAGATTAAAGACTATACTCAAGTTTACATCACAAGGTCCTGAAGTCATACCCATATATGCCAAGTATTTAAACAGCCTAGCCTTGGAAACCTAATTGTTTCTAATTTACCAGGTTGCCAGATCATTTCTATTTTGAAAAACCTCATCACCCAAACAGGTTTAATTGTTGAAATGTTCATAGTTCTGTATTCCATGTTTATGTAAGTAGGATATGCAACCATAGTTCAAATGATATTGATGAAGCTAACAAAGGTGTATTAATATGGGAGGGAAAAGTATCCTAGGAGCATATGCAAGCAGTACACCGAAATAAAGCCATGGAGTTTTACCTGTGAAACTCAACGTAGCGTGTGAAACAATGCCTAGTCTGGTTTGTTGTAGGGAATCGAAAATCAGCTGGAGCAGTCTTCAGTTCAATCTGGGAGAAGAGAAAGATTAATCAAAAGACATTATTATTTTAGCGAAAGAGGTCAACCTACAAAAGGTCAATAGTTGAAAATATTAAGAGAATTTGGAGCAGCTTATGTTTTCCTAAGGCACAAATTCATAACTAACTGGAATAAATGAAATGCCATGTTAAAAGTCTTCGATCCAGTTTGGATAAACTTATGTTTAGCTTTAGCATATCTGCTGCTACTATAAGCACTTGTGCTAATTTATTGCTCTGTTCACATATGCTTACAAAAAGAGTTTATGGCTTTTGAAAAGCTCTTTTTTAGCTTATTTCCTTTTTTCATTATTGCCCACACATTTCATTTATAAAAAAAAATGGTTGCATGGACAATATGTTCTTGTGATTTCAAATTGCCACCTGGACAATTGTTTTTTCTCAAGACTGAGAATTATAACTAGGAAGAAAGCCATGTTCTTTCAGCCACCCAAATAGTTATTGATGATTCATGACTTTTATATTTATCCTTCCCCCCATTTCAGGATAATATACCATCATCTCCCCCTATTTTAGAGTCTAAGAGAAAATGATTAGCTAGCTGCAGCTAATAGCAAGACTAAGATTATATACCATCATCTCCCCCTATTCTAATTAGATTCTAGTATACAAATTGACAAATTAGTATATGAAATCACTGTACTATAACCAGAACTACTATTAGTGTGTGTTATGGTATGCCAAATAATTTACAAATCTATCACACCTCTGAAATAAACAACACAATGCATCCACAGAGTTTCGAAATTTATCAGACCCGAAAACCCGATCAACTTTGTCTTCTCAGTACGTGTTTCAATTTCACTAATCAACCCTAGAGCGCATCAGATATCAGTATTCAGCTCAACGACAACCTCAAAAAAGGAAAAAAAAAAAAAAAAAACATACGCATCCAAATCATATAAATTCAGATCAGTTCCAAAATTTGCAGATCATCAAAACAACACAGCTATAGAAGAAGAACCAGTCTTTTCGCGACACAGATGTAAACGAAAATCGAAAATGAATGATTCCGAGATTGTTTTACCTCGGCCATTGATGATGAACGGAGAACAAAATTTTCCTTCCTGTGTGCGCAGACGGTACGAAAGTACAGCGGCGTTGACGGGATCCCATGGCGCTTTATAAATATATATATATATATTGCGGGCCGGGTAACAACGATCCGCCTACGGTCAATCCGGTTTTCTTGTGGTACTAATTTATTACAGCAAAAAATAAGATAGAATTTAATGCACATACTTATGGATCTATTTTATTTTCTGTTTTTTTTTTTTTTTTTTTTTTTTTTTTTTTTTGGTGTGACATGAGAATACAATTGTTACCCGATAGTGTGACACATGATATATAGGATGTACCTTTGCAGAGGCCGGTAGTATTAACTGGTAGGAAATTGCATTGAATGTTTATATAATCGTAAATGAGTCGTAGAAACGAGAAGCCAGCTTTTGGTGAATGCGATGATGGAGTGTGGATTGACGATGTGGCCGAAGTTTCAATAAAACTTTGTCACCTTCAAGAAATTCAAGCTCGCATCTCTTGACATTTGTTACTTTAATTATCCAATTCTAAGCTTTTTCTAAGTTGTAACGGCGTTATCATATCAACATGTTCTTCAGTTACTGCCTCAACTTTAAATTCCTCTGGTAAATATTGTTGCAAGATTGGCAGGGACCATCAATACGTACACCATTTGGAATGGGGTAATGCCAGAAATGAGGTATTGTACCAGTATTCGGCCCAATAGATAAAGCGTCCCCATTATATTGCTTCTAAGTTTTTTGCACTTTTGGTCCCACGACTATAGTGGCACTATCAGGACTGATCCGCGACTTTCAAACCTTGCAATTTTAGTCCATGACTATTGTTTTTGTTGCAAAAATGGTCCTTCCGGCCAATTTTTCGTCAAAATCTCACCGGAGAAAGAAATTCCAAATTTCAAGCAGGGATAAAATAAACATTTACATTGACCTTGCAATCTCGGACCGCTGTTGACCTCTTATTCTGACCAAAGTGCGAAAAAAAAAAACAATTGCCAGAGACGAACCCTAATCTGCTCCCATCTCATCAACGATGTAGCCATTATGTTTTCCTTCAAAATAAAGAAGATGAAGATCGGCAATGGATGGCGTGTTGAAGATGGCAATCGGTGTTTTCCTTTTGTTCGCAAATGGGTTGATGAGATGAGAGCATATTAGAGTTCTTCTCTGGCAATTGATTTTTTCGCATTTTGGTCAGAATAAGAGGTCAACAGGAGTCCGAGATTGCAAGGTCAATGTAAATGTCTATTTTATCCTTGCTTGAAAGGGGAGTTTTTTTTTTTTTTTCCCCCGGTGAGATTTTGACTGAAAATTGGCCGGAATGACCATTTTTGCAACAAACAATAATCGTGGACTGAAATTGCAAGGTTTGAAAGTTGTGGATCAATCCCGTTAGTGCCACTATAGTCGTGGGACCAAAAGTGCAAAAACTCCATTGTTTCGGTTGCTCGAAGGTCATACACCGTAAGTATTGCTCAAAGCATCAGTTGAGGACCCAGATTGACCATTTGTTTGAGAGTGGTAGGTAGTACTCATACGCAACTTGGTGCCCCATTTGTCAAAAAATTATGTCCAAAAAATACTTAGAAAGGCCACGTCTCGATCACTTAGTATTGATCCTGGTAACATGTAAACGAACTATTTCTTTTGTAAATATGCCGTCTAGAGACTTGACGCTGAAAGTGTGTTTTAGTCCTATAAAGTGGTCTTATTTAGTGAAATGATCTATGACCACCCAAATGCAGTCAACCCCGTAGGAACGTGGCAATCTGGTAATTAAATTCATTGCAATGTCCTCCCAAATAAATGTTGGGATAGGGAGAGGTTGGGGGAGACTTGCTGGTGCCGTTGTGTCATATTTTTTTTGACACACCAATCATTTTGCCATGAATTGTTGGGTTTGCTTCATCATACCTTTCCAATAATTGTTGGCAGCTAGTCGGCGGTATGTGTGATAAACTCCTAAGTGTCATCCCATTGGTGTGGAGTGAAATTCTTTCAAGAGACGAGAAATCTACAGTGATGTGGCGGGTAGAACAATGCGTTCCTTATAAAATAAGCATCCTTGAAGAAGTTGAAAAGGAGTTCGATTTGTCGAGTCGAGACGAAGCTACTGTACAATAGTACTTAAGCTAGAATCCTTGGCAATAGTTGTACCCAATTCAACCCAATTAATCCATAGTGGTAAGGATATTGCCGACAATTCTAGCTCTTCATTCTGATGAGACAAAAGCATATGCGGCATTGTTCAACCTCTCTGGCTTGCATGCCTACAAGGAAGGCAACCAGTTGGTCATCTTTTGCTGGGGAAGGCAACCAGCGACATATCGTCGACAGTGTTAGTGCTCGGAGATGGTCGGAGTGTCGCCAGATAGTCACCGAAACCCTAGTGACCTATAATAATAGGACACTAATAAGTTTTTGGGCTTCAATGTCACAAAATAACATGTTGATGGGTTTAATTGCACTTTTTAAAAATTCAAGGGTCTTATTGATTTTTTGAATAAAATTTAGGGGCCTATTTAATAAGATTATTTTTTTCTTTTGGCCAGGCCAACCCCTAACTGTAGGAGATACATTTAAGCTCGTACCATACTCAAACTAATCCCCGTTCACACCGAGTCAGCCCAATTAATACAGATACATTTAAGCTCATACCATACTCAAACTAATCTCCGTTCACACCAAGTCAGCCTAATTAAAGGGCAAAGTGCTAGCCAGATTATTTTTTCCATACGAGAGGGGGTTCGAACTCCCGACCTCTCTTAAGGGACAAGAGTGCACAACCACTCACGCCAATTAAACTGATTATATTCAAGATTATTGAGTGTTTGGTGAATAGTTGATTTTTTTTTTTTTTTGGTTATTTTGGATTTGACCCTTCGATGTTAGTTATTTGACTTAGTAAACCCAGTACTTAATAAATATGTCCATTGGCTTAGTGGACAGCCTTCAATCCACATAAAAAAAAAAAAAAAGGAAAGTAACCATTTAAGATGACAGATTGGTTTTATTATTTATAAATTAGTAGATTTTATATTAATTTGGTTATTAGTTTTTCGTTTTATATTTTCTGTGTTTTTTATGGACTTACAATAGCTAACAAATTAAACTTGATAGATAAAAATATTGGGTAATAAAATTAAAATTCATACACCACAATAACCACATACAAACACCCTTGTTAATATGATACATGTCTTATTTTGAAAGTGTAACAAATCAAACATGGATAGCTACTAGGAAACATGCATAAAGCAACATCGATCACTGCTTTCAAGGTAGATTCATTTTCATTTTTATTTTTAGGATTCATATAAGATTGGATCAATTAACACTGAGGTAATGGTGGCTAGCTTTAAACTCGGTACTGGAATGTGTATATGTATCTCCATCTTTATACAACAGATCTATAACTCTTGCGACGTTGACAACTCAGAATGATTATAGACATGGAAAAAATAATTGGCTTAAGACATTCTTGATTAATGTCTTTTTATGAGTTGTTGACTCGTTAAAGGTCTCATCTTTAGATTTTTCATATTGTTTTATGTAGCTTTCTACACAGCCGAATCTGCATGCCCTCTTTGCTACTCAAACTATACATCACAAATAATGGAAATTCAACATTAAGTGAAATAACTTTAGATATTGAAAATTTTTAGTCTATGTAACTTTATTTTATAGATATTAATTATAATTTTGTTGTTACCTCATATCCAGACATATCATCTATTAATCTACAAATAACTGATGCAGCTTGAATAATTAATGGGTCCTTACACACCCAATCAAACGCCTCTTTAGTTACAAAATCTTCTTGCATGCCTACCAAAGAAGTTGTTGATAGCATCATATAAGCACCCGTTATAAGTGCAACCTTCATGTAGGGGTGTGCAAACTTCGGATAATTTTCGGTTAACCGACCGAATCGACAAAGTTTGGTTAACCGTTTTCGAACCGAACTTTTTCGGTTCGGTTAATGGTTAAAGGAATTTTAAAACTTCGGTTAACGGTTAATTCGGTTCGAAAGGTCGGTTAACCGAATTAACCGAACGGTTAACCGAAGTTTTTAATATATATAAAAATAATAACATAAATATAAATACTAATTTAAAGTTATGCATGTTTGGAGTGTATAATTCATGTTTTTTATATTTTGTTATGAATTTATTATGATATGTATTTTATTTTAATTGAATTAATTATTTTAGGTGTTATTTTTAGAATTTTAAATTTTAACTTTAAAAAGTTCGGTTAATCGATTAACCGACCGATTAACCGAAAAAAATTTCGGTTCGGTGAATTCGGTAAAGCAAACTTCGGTTCGGTTAACGGTTAAAGAAAAAAAAATTTCGATTAATTCGGTTCGGTTAACCGATTGAACACCCCTACCTTCATATACTCAAACTTTGGAGGACATCGATTATGAAACCACTTTGCTTCTTCATAATATGCTCCCACTAACTTCTTCATCTAAACACAAAGCAACAATTAAAGTTCCAAAAGTAATTATTATCATATATATGAGTTAATTCCAATAATGGTCCTCCGATTATATTGATTTTTTAAAATTAGTCTCCGATTTTTAATTTAGACACTGTACGTCTCTTGACTTTCAATTTCTTTTCAATAGAGGTCATTTCGTCATATTACAGTAAAGTGGACTTTAAATGAAATGGTAAAGTAGTCATTTCATCTGTCTAATATATAATTCTTCGTATTTCTTCCTTATATACGCGACTTCGGATATCAAATTCACTTAATTGCTTAATCCCTGATGGAATTGCTTAACATGTAAAATGATCCATAATAATAATAATAATAATAATAATAACAATAATAATAATAATAATAATAATAATAATAATAATAATAATAATTATTATTATTATTATTATTATTGTTCAAAAAATAATTTAAAAAAATTCCCCTTTTTTTTTTTTGAATGCTACTAGCTCTATTATATTGTAGTATCTGTTCATATACTTTCTCAACCTACTGAAACACAAAGAGCTAATAACGCCTCCACTGAGGCTCGAACTTACAACCTTCCAAATGGAAGTCCAACCCGGGTACCATTGGACCACATAGTC